AATTTCAGTCACTCTTCATATTACATAAGGCCGTGAGCGTGCGTCAAAGTTCAAAATCCGCGCGTACTGCTATGGGCGATATAATGCAAATTTGATCAAAAACATGCCATTTTAAAAATCGAAATAGCTCTTCAGATAGTCCGTTGACCCCCAATTTTTATATCATGGTTGGAGAAAGCATGAGTTGTAGATATGATTTCATACCACCCTGACTCGTACAAAGTGAAACAAAGTCATCATATTGGCATCTAAACTCAAACAAATGTTTTTTGTTGATGACGTTATTTTTGTCTTTGTTTAACTGAGATTATCTCACTTATCGGTGATCGATTTTCTCCCAGAATTTAATATGTTGTAGCTGAGATAATTCTCTATCAAAAATATGCCATTCATTTTTCATTTCGATGACGTCATCATAGTTAAATATTCCATTAAAGGCGACAATGCATAATTTGTCATATTTGCGTGTTATGTCTATGGGAGGTCACTTTTTTCAAAACATGAATCTGCATGACAAGGTGCTTTGACCAGTATCTCGGTTGTTATTCAACAGTTTTCTCCCAAATTTTAGTTGTTGTAGCTGAGACTATTTGCTATTTAAATATTTCCTTATTTTTTCAATCAGATGTTAGGATCATGCTTGTGCTCATCATCATCATTAACATTATCGTTTTTATCATCATATAACATTATCATTATCATCATCACCTTTACTATCATGATCATCATCATGGTCATCATGATCATCATTGTTTACATGTCTATATAACTTCTCCCATTCTCAATTCTATCATAAGACTTAGACAGACCACCTTATTCGTCTTCGTGACGAATTAAATTCTAGTTATTATTAATGTTTCATTTCTAATGTATATTTGTGGGACAGTAGTAGGTTTAAGAAAAATTAACGCGGGGTGGTTTAGGTGGTTGACTGGAGATGCGAAAGTTGAGGGTTCGAATCCCGACACGGCACTAATATCCCCTGGCCAGATATTTACCTGCATTTGCTACTCTCCAGCCAGGTGTTAAAAGGGTACCCGGTATGATGCGAAAGTTCACGTGGTTGTAGGAGGAAGTGTGCGCTTGTAAAATAGCGACTGGCTGGAATGCTCCCCAGGGAGTGGAAAATGTGCACACATTGTGTGCGGGTGAGCCTGAATCCGATTACCGGGGTAATATTATATCTGTAAAGCGCTTAGGCACATCTTTGGATCGATGTATTGAGCGCTATATAAACACGGAATGTTCTTATTATAATTATTATTATTATCCTGCCCACAAGGAAACGATGGTAAAATTTACCAATGAATCTATTCCGACAAGTAATCAATATCGGACATCAATCAAATTTGTATAACACGGACGCTATTTTCCGATGATAACTCTGTAGTTCTATTCCGCTTAGACTGTCGGGTATTTTTCTCATTTTATCGCAGTTACTTTCGTGATTGCGAGTGGAGTTCTGAACATGACAGTGGGAATACCTGATCCTGATAGATGGTTCACCCTTCCAAGCTACTGCAACCAAACGGTAAATCTTATCGATCCTCAAATCGGCACTGCCGTGTTCTCTATCTATCAATTACTTATCAAGTAATTTTTTTTTAAAAGAAATTAAAGTTCGCTTTATCATGCTGTATAATTGCTGTTACTCACAGGCCCTCATACAAAACATGTTTTTTTTTTCATTAGAAATTTACCGTTGGAATAGAAAAAAGGATATCCTTCTACACCTTCCTTACTATTCTTCAACCACATCTACTTTTGCTTATCTCCTCCTTCTCCTCGTCCTCCCCGTCTTCCCCCTCCCCCTCCTTCTCCTCCCATCCCCCTCCTCCTCCTCCTCCCACCCCCCTCCTTCTAACCCTCCTTCCCCTCGCCCTCCTCCTCTTCCTCCTCCTCCTCTTCCTCCTCCTTCCCCCTCCTCCTCCCCTTCTTCTTCCCTCCTTCTAACCCTCCTTTCCCTCCACCTCCTCCTCATCCTCTTCGTCCTCTTCCTCCTCCTCTCTCTCTTCATTCCCTCCTCCTCCTCATTATCATTCTCTATGACTTCCCCGTTTTCTCCCCCCCCCCCATGTTCTTCTTCTTGTTTCCCCTCTTGTTTTCGACCACCACTCCCTGTTCCGCCTACCACTCAAGTTCTGGTTCCTTATCCATGTCGTCTTTCCCCCTTCCTTCTATGACGGGCCGACCATGCCATTATTACAAAATCGAGAAATGCGATGAATGGCACATCCCAACTGCCAGATCTTGCATACATATCACTTTTAGCATCATCATTTGTTTAATGATGAAAACCTCACCATGTTTGTTTTAAGGGTTTGATACCTCATTTTACCAGACCCCATTTCTTTGAAATGTGATATATCCATTGTAAATCTGGTATAGACCTTACAATGACTTCATCACAAATTCTGTATTTAATTATAATAACGTTAATGCGCGATATCAACTGTCATATAATCTAGGCTCTAGACACAAATTGATGTGTTCCCTGTTTCCTGTTAATTGTTTCAAAGGTTTAATTCTCAACGACAAGATTTCAAATATATACATCGAAACCGGTCTTAATAGAACCTTAAATCAACAGATTTCACCCAAACCTTCAATCAATAGTGGCGTCATCTCGTAATTCATAATTTTATCAGATTTTTGTAATCCAAAATTACTTCCATCCATCAATTATGTGTTATCATTTAATATCATCTTTCTATAGAACGCTTTATCTGATGACGGCTCGGTGTTTGATCACGAAGTCCTGAAATTGCCCGTCTTCTTCTAGTTCTCGTACGGGGGCGTCGTTACAAGAGACAGTTTTCGGGGGCAGCCCCCGCCCTAATGAGAGGATCTCAAACAACCGATTGTCCTGACTTAAGCTTCCAATCAGTGTAATTTGCCCTTTCTATAAATTAACAAAAATGGAGATTTCTATTAAATGTAGTCTAGAACTTCTTAAGTAACATTGAATTCATTATTAAACAGAGACGTATGAACAAGAAAGTTGAATTGATGATATTTGGTAATCAATACAGTAGTTAATATATTATGCTAGGCCTATTACTTATTGTCATGTTTGATTTAAAAAATTATTTGTGAATGCAATGAGTCATTTATATTTCATTGACTATTAACACTTTATGTGGCTTACAGTTTTATCTATAGCTAAAAGTGCACTGCAAATTTCGAAAAACGTGGCTACAATTATGATCGTGATTGTTACGGATAAGAACCTTGACTTTGCGCTCTCATCGGAGGTTTATAGACAATATTCACCGTCGAAAAACATCATGGGCCCTACCTCCATGTTTTTTTTTTAATTTGATGCATACGCTACTAATATCAACGAATGTATTTAGTAGATGTTTGCGGAGTGGTCTTAACCCACGCTTCTACATTTGAAATATGATCTGGCTTAACATTTTTCCACCCAATTCAACCCTCATTCAATTTGTATCGAAACGTGTAAAAATATAGAGGCACTTAAAATTCTACCTGAATCACAAAAACAGCGATGAGACCTTGGTCGTGCTGATTTCTAGGCATTAACCCAAAACTCGTTCTCCGTAAGCAATATCACGGTCGTATTTAAAAGGAATGAAATTCAGCGTTAACGTTTTAAGATCTAATTGCCGATTAGTACGAATAACATTAACAGTGTGTATAACCGTGGTATGGTGAACCCAATTGAGTGATCATCTCCCAAATTGGAAAGGGGGAGAGAGGGAGATAGAGCAAGTGCAAGAAGAAGGAAGATGGATAGAGAGAAAGGGAAGGGAAAGAAACGAAGAAGAAGAAGAGGTAAGACCAATAGAGAAAGAGGAAGAGAGAAGAAAAATGAGAAGAATAAGAAGAGGAGGAGGAGGAGGAGAGAGAGGGGGAGCGAGAAAGAGAGATTGTTTTGCGTTCTATGCCTTAGTTTGTACATGTATTATCACCTACTAAATATTTTCGTAAAGTAAACATGTAGTCGAAAATTAATAGACTTTTCTCTTTTACTTCTTTTTTCTCAGGGGACCTGAAGAGCTCTATAAGTGTGCACATGTTTCAGGGTGTGTGTATGTGCGTGTGTGAGCGCGTCTCTGTGTGTATGTGGGTTTGTAAGAAGTGTGAAACGTGAGTAATTAAGTATACATAACTTCTAAATAGGGATACACTGGCAACTGTGGATATACCAAGTTGATAACTTTCTTATTGTTTGCTAAACTCACACTTCTCTCTATAATTCTCTCTCCCACTCTCTCTTTCCTCTCCCTTCTTTCTCCCAAGAGTCACATCTATTATCAACTACCTACTCTCCATTTCTCGCTCCCACTATCTCTCTCTCATATCTCTCTTCTTTCTCTCAAGGGTCATATCTCTCACCCTATGTCTCTTTCTTCCGCTCACTATATCTCTTTCCCTATCTCTCTCTGCCCATTTCAGGAAATTATTATTTTCCCTTTTACTCCATAATACCAATAAGTGTCAATCTTGATAACGTAGCCCATTAACGTTTCCGTTGTCGTACCATCACGAACATGTCAACCGTAAGTATTTACTCTGTAAATTATCTAGACAATTAACTCAGATATAAAGTGATTTGCTTCTTATAGGCGCTGCCATTCTGTTATCCATATCCAGTAGATTTATTGTAGTCCGTCAGTAAGGGCTTTCAATTGGTCATCCTCTCTAATATTCTGATATTTTCTCCGATGATCTCCTTCTTTATCAATCAAATTAAAAAACGGTTAATCTATAATAATCAAATAATCATTATTTGGATGATCATTCAGGGTGTCGGATTCATTTTGGAGCTTAGTGGGAATTTCGACAATTGTTTCCAAACGAAAGTTGCCGAATGGTTGTAAGCATTCAACGACATTGATCATATGGACATTAGAATCATTATGATGATGAACAGGACATCGCATGGTCAGCGCCATCTTGGCAGCAATGATGATGACGAGATAGGCGATATCTACATCACCCAAAACATCATTGTTAACTTAACCTATTACATAATGGTCTTGGTCCTCGGACTTCCGGGCAATGCCATCATTATCCAAGCTTACGCGTGGAAAAAACGGAAGGCGAGCACGGATATCCTCATCATGGCTCAAGCGATAGTTGACTTCGTCGCTTGCTTATTCACGCCTGTTTTCATTATCAGAAGCGGTTTCCCGAAACTGATTACGACAGGTTTGTGTCGGATGTCACCACTTGCAGAAGAGGCACCCGCTTTCATGTCCCTTTTCCTCACCACGGTAATCAGCATCGATCGCTACATGGCCGTGTGTCATCCTCTACGACGCCGAATGACGGTGCGTATGACCATTGTATTAGTTACTTTGTGTGTGGTCGTCAGCATCGCGTTCAACATTCCGCTTGTTGTTTTATCTCAAGTCCGATTTTCCGATACAGTCAAAAGAAGGCTATGCGACATTTCCTTACGTAAAGAGACTTACCATGTCGTTTTAGCGGCGACGTGTTCGATATATGCATTGTTTATCTGTTCGATAATGACGACGACTGTTCTTTATGCTTTCATATACAACTTCCTCCGAAAGAGAGCAAAAATTCATGCCGGCCTTGTAGACAATGAGCTGCCAGTAGCTACCATCAGTTCAGAGAACCAAAGCACTGGAACTCTTGACCACGTATTCGTGCCCGGTGCAGAAAGCACAGATTTCGGCGGAGTCACAGCCACCAAAAAAGCAGTTCAGCATTTGCATGTAGCTACTGAAGGATGTTCAAATAACACAAATATCACATCGGCACCAAGTAGTAAGGTCATGGATTCGCATTTCATGTCTCCCATAATTGAACCGTCTCAAGACAACCTTAAACAACTCCCTCTACGACGTACCCTCACAGAAGTACACCATTCACCAGCGTCATCGCCCAAACGGTCTCTTTTTAGACGTCGTGGTACGAATCAACCAAAGGTACTCAGGAAGAAGCAGGAAGCTGACTATGGAAGGAAAACAACACGCATGCTCCTAATTATATCAATATTCTTTTTCCTCACCTGGACTCCAAGCATGATCATCCCCATCATTCCTCGTTCGATAGTTTCTAACGGAAGGGACATTCCTGGATTCTTCACCATTATTAACATCCTAATCGCTCTCAAGCTCACTAACCACATCGTCAACTTCTTCGTCTACTATTGGGTCAGCAACAGTTTCAGAAGAGACGTGAAGGAGTCGTTTAAGAAATGCCGAGGCAGGGAATAGTTATGAAGATATAGATTTTCTGATGACAAAGATCTTCTGATGACGTAAAAGGGGGTAAGAGGACACTTTTTTTTTTTGGTCACGAAATTTTTAATTTTTTTAATTTGCTCCGTTGGGGGGGGGGGGTGGTGGTAAGGACACCTTTTTCAACCATTGCCATATATATATATATATATATATATATATATTTCTTCTTTTTTTTAATAACATTTTGGGGGGGCCGGGGGGCACGTCCCTGTTTTTCAGAACATTTTTGGCGAATTTAGGGCCCCCTGTGCCCCCCCCCCCCCTGGATCCGCCACTGCAATTTCGCCAAAGTTGAGTGGGAGGAGAATTCTTTGGCGAATTGCGGTTTCATTTTCTTCTATGGGCAACCTCTTTCGCAATCGGGTCATTCAAATTCAAACTAGACCTCATAATCATAGTGTGAGGCTCGATGTTTATTCGGATATTCAGTATTTCATGTTAATTTTTGTTTTTTCTCTTTGATCTTTTCTGACGTGACGTCACATTATACAATCTTCTTATTTGTCTGATATATTTATATTGCATTTTATATTTTCTCTTTCTTTCGACATTCTTTATTTTTGTTAAAACATCTCTTTATTCATATCATACGAGGTAATTTGTTAAATGGTTTGTTTTCATCATTCTTGATTGAGTAGGTGATCTATTTTTATTTTTTCATTTAACATCTTTTCCTTTATTCATCATTGTATTTTGTTTTCATCGTGTCCATGTCTAGTAAAGCTGAGGCCTACCTCTGACCATGATTTTTACATATATAGCTTGTGCTTAGAAGAGAAGTTACAAATTGTGCACATTCTCTAGCGACAGTTACCTGTGTATTGACATATATCTACAACCGAATACGCATGTCATTCCTTCAAGTAAACTTTGCATAAAATTATTCAACAGAAGTATATTGTGAAAAATTAACATCAAATGAAAAGCACATGTATGCCTAATCACGAAATTAAATGCACGAATACATACCATCGTCTGTCCGGCGCGAATTTGAATAATCTTTGCACGCTTTTCTAAATTTAATTAATGCTCGTTATTATGGGCCGCCGTTAGGGCTAATATTAACAATCACAAACACAGACAAAGATGCAGTCAAACAAACAAAGGACAGATCAAAATAGACAAAGTATTGAGAAGAAAGGACAATAAACAAGCAAACAAACAAAGGTCAAAGCAAAATAGAGAAAGTAACCAGAAGAAGGCACAATTTTACAAACAAACAAAGGACAAAGCAAAATAGACAAAGCGACGAGAAGGACTATTTCACAAGCAAAGGATGAACTGAAACAGACATAGCAGCATCGTATGAACTGACCCTCAAAGGACAACAGTAGGCGTTTTTGGTTTACGGTAAGCAAATAGACATCAATTACGATAAAGAAAGGATGAAGTAAAACTCACATATCGTACGAACTGACCATCAAAGGACAACAGAGGGATGGCTTAATTAGGCTAGCTAGTTCATCTGCGCATTTATGGTTTTTTTTTAAACAATGATTTTAAATCAATGATTATCAATCAATTATCAATTTTAGTCCCCCCCCCCCCGACAGTAACATTTTCAATCCAATACCCTCTTCCAATACTTATATTTCCATAGGCCCTATTGCCCCCCCCCCTCCCCAACCACATTACAGCTAGGCATGTGCATGCAACCACACGTACCTTGTGCTTTATAGCTGGCTGGCAGTAGTGTCTTAATCATGGGCCAGTTTACTTAATTCTCGAAAGTCCGTGGACGTCCTATAAAAACGCGTGTTAATTTATAACACACGTTTATAATAGTAGGTCTAAGAAGATTGACTTATGATGGTTCGAGAAACAGCCGTTATGCCCCCCCCCCCCTGATTGACAAGCAGCCAAGCAAGCCAGACTAGGTTGGCGACCAAATAAACTAAGTTTGTTATTGACACGATACCAGACCAGGAAGTATAAAGAGGACCACCTGACCGTGTTAGCTAGTAGAAAGCCATTCATTTTGATACTGATATAAACTGTATATGCAGGCCGCATGATCAGTAACCGTATTTAACCCAAACTCGCTCTGTCGTCCTTTGACGGTCAGTTCGTACAATGCTGTTATGTCTGTTACAGTTCATCCTTTGCTTGTGAATTTGTCCTTCTCGTCGCTTTGTCTATTTTGCTTTGTCCTTTGTTTGTAAAATTGTCCTTTCTTCTGGTTGCTTTGACCTTTCTTCATTTGCTTGTTAATTGTCTCTTCTTCTGGGTACTTTGTCTATTTTGCGCGGAAGTTTGTTTGTTTGAATGCATCTTTGTCTGTTTTTGTGGTTGTTTATGTTGGCCCTAACGGCGGCCCATACGTTTTGCACGTCTCCGTGACGAGAGCATGAAATCGCATGCTACTAAATCAAATTGAATGACGCTATTAGCTTTTTAAATGTTGATCTACATAGTCATTCAATTTCGCACGAACTTGAATGAACGTAACGTTAATTCGGATGCTAATTTTACGAAGTTGGGCGGGAAAACCTATATTAAGAATATGACATTCGACTTAAGTTCGCTCGTCATCAGCAGATAATATTATCGGGGGAAAAGTATCATAATAAGCAATATCAAGGCATCTAATAATGTCTCATTACGCCTATTGATGACAGCCAATCTTGGTCTACTCTGTTATGAAGAAAAGGCTTATCCGATTACAATGTATCATAACTGCAGCCCTCTTTATAACGCTCTCTCTCTCCCTCTCTCTATCTATCTTTCTCTATCTCTCTCTCTCTCTCTCTCTCACCCTCTGTCCTTCTCTGTCAATCTCTTTCTCTCTCGATGTATGTATACATATCCAATTTCCGGTGTCGTGTCATTCAAATATTCAGTCGAGACTCTTTTGAAAACACGACGACCTGCCTCGCATAAACTACCGGGGAGCTCTTCCCGTCATATCCCCTTATTCATGTTAGCAGATGACGGTTTATCCAATCCTGATTGTCATTTTCCTTCTGGCGTTACGTGTAACTCAGCCATATCGCTAATTCGACTCAAGAGCGACCAAAAACCGACCATTACGTTGGCCATTTGGGCTAATGTAACTTTTTGTTTTTTCTGTTATCGGTTTGCCGCATGTCTCGTTGATGTGACTGAGGTATTAAAGAGCACCCAGGTGACATTTCAGACTTAAAACGAACGCAGATCCTCTACATATTTAAGCAGTTCTTGGTTTAAAGTATCCCTGATTTTTATTACAAACAATAAGCCTGCGATGGATCACATAAATTTGACGAAAGAAGCTCGTTGCAGTTCGTTGGAGATCGTGAATGAAACCTCGACCGAATCGAATCAATATGATACAATAGACAAAGGCGATATGAAGAATGACGTTAGCGGTGATTTTCCAGTAGGTCAATTAATATTTTATCTTCTCATACTACTATTAGGGTGTCCGGGGAATGCCATCATCATCCAAACTTACGCATGGAAGAAACGGAAGACGAGCACGGATATCCTCATCATGGGCCAAGCGATAGTCGACTTTGTCGCCTGCGTATTTACCCCAACATTCATCGTCCGAAATGCATTTCGAAACCTGATTACCGTTAACCTGTGTCGGGTGGCATCACTTTCAGAAGAGGCCACAGCATGTGCCTCCATTTTCCTGACGTCAACGATCAGCATCGATCGTTATAGGGCCGTTTGCCGTCCATTCCGACGCCGGATGACAGTGCGTATGTCGATTTTATCAGTGATCATGTGTGCGCTGGTCTCAATCGGTGTCAACATTCCGCTGGTCACATATTGGGTAGTTCATGATTCAGGTCCCAACGGGAAAAGAATTTGTCACATCTTGATATCACCTACAGGTCACTTCGGTACTACGATAATGTATTTAGCTTTGTTCGTCGCATCGTTTGCAACGACCACCTTTTCGTACGCCCGCATCTACGCTTTTAGCCGAAAAAGAGCCAAGATCCACGCCGACCTGGTGAACAATGTCGCCAACATCAGTTCACATGTTGACGTTGACAGTTCGCCGGAGTCGAAATCAAGAACGGGCCATGTGGAGGATCGAAATGGAACTATTGAAAACGTTGATGACACCTCAAGCATTGCAAACATCAAAAACAAATTTGAAACGACACAAACGTCATCAAACGTTGCAGGATGTTCAAGCTATACTACCGTTTCAACGTTACCTAGAGGTGAAGCAGCCCATTCGAGTCTCTAACTATCAGCCTTCAAGTCGTTACAGGACAAATTGCAGCCCATTCCATTACCGTCAGAACACACGAAGCAACATCAATCATCGTCTACACCAGCGTTGTGCCAGCGTCGTCGTCATCGGAATGGGCAAAAGGTTCCGAAAAATGAAAAGCTAAACGACTTTGGGCGAAAAACAACTCGCATGCTCCTCATTATCACAATATATTTCTTCGTGACGTGGACACCAATAATTGTTTCTCCGCTCATTCTATCCACCCTGATAAACCACACCCCTTCGGCATACTACACGATTTTGAACGTCGCACTTTCTCTGAGACTCACCAATCACGTCGTCAACTTCTTCGTCTACTACTTGGTCAGCAACAGTTTCAGAAGAGACCCCAATGAGTCCTTTAAGAAGTGCAGAGGTAGAAATTAGTTCACAGAAACAAATAAGATAGAAAAGATAAGAGGATCATGGGTTACCAGCCGTATGTTTTCCTTTTATCTCTCTTTTTCTTTTAAATTGATTTTTTTTAAATTTTGTTTTTGTTTTTTAATTAACGAAATAAGAGCAAACAGAAATCATACACTTGTGACTTCAATTTAAACTTCATTGGTTACCTGTTCATAAATTAAAAATCAAACCATTCTTAATTTGATTTTTTTTTGTATATCCTCTCTCTCTCTGTGGTTATTCGTGTCTCTTTATCTCTCTTTCTCGTTGTCAGTTTAACTCTCTCTTATCTCATAATCTCACCCAGCCTCTAGTCCACTGTGCATGGATTGTTTCCGTATCGCGTCATTTTCCTCATTATTTGATCTGATTTAAGCTCTAGTAGGCTTTCAGTTTCACAGATCATCGGGTATTCTCTTATCTTTGAAAATATGACTTAATTTCTGACAATGGTATGCTTATATATTTGGTATCCTACGATCCTTTGTTTTACTTTTCCACATTTTATATTGTACAATTACAAATAAGTTTCATTTCCTATGTTATATTACAAATTTATTTGATATTTATCTTATGTAAGCTTTTTTCATGGTTTGATTGAGCTATGGAAATAAAATCATTTGAATTGAATTGAATACTCTGAAGATATCGGTAAGGTATGTGACAAAATATCTTGGAATCGCCCATTTACAAGTTTCAATCGGATATCACAGCACCTTTCTGTTTTGAAAATGAAATATTGTCAACTGCAATGAGAAAGACTATATTAAAGGTACTATGTCCCATTTGCAGGCTAAAAAAATGAAAAAGTTAAATTCCAACTGCATTTGAAAGATAATACTAATTTAGAACTTCCCTAAAAAAAGTGGGGCTTGAAAATGTCTTCAGGTGGGAAAATAATGACTATTAGTTGTCAAATCGACTTTAGGGCTACAGAGCCCAAAAGTAATAGTCTTGATTTTCAGACAATTATACCGAATGGTCATACGTTTTATGCTGCGCAAAGATTCAATCAGTTTAATCTTGGCCATCACAAGAAGTGGGTTATTGATATAGACAAATGCTCATGTACTCTTTACAACTCTTTTCATGTATGTTATTACCAAAGAAGAAAAAAGCCAGTCAGTCACTCGATAGTGTCTGACAGTGAAGTCTAGCAAGTAAACGGGTTTCCTTGCATAATTTGAATATGAGGACACTGCTAACGTTTAAATTTCACAGATAGGACATACATGACATATTCATAATTCCTGCAAAGTTTTACAGAATTTGAGGTTGGCTGCAAAAGGGACATAGTACCTTTAAGGAATGCATAAGAAAAGACAAATATAATAAGGGAGTATTCTTAATGCAAGCATTGGACCGATACGATATGCGTAGATTATGGATGAACAAGAATCTTGAAATTGATTTCAAAATGAGCATTTGTATATATTTATAATGAACATTATGAGGGGATCAGGTAGGGTCCGTGGAAATTAAAATGTTGGACATCATACGTGGAGTAATGAAAAGAAAAGGGTTTTGCAAAATTTGAAGATATGTTAAATGAATGTGGACGCCCATTGCAATGGAAAGACTTTAAAAAAAACTGGATTAAAGTTCACTGAGTATTTTGTATTGTTAGAATACCAAAAGCATGGAAGCATTTCTTTTTACAGCAAAATTATCATCATCTCGTTAAAGATCTTAGAGATTTTCGTTCTGTTTTCTGTGATTCCGAATGCAAACATATCAATAACGTGACGAAACAACTTTTTCGTACTTTTCTAAGACCTATCCCTGACATGTCTAAAGTATTTACTCGTTTCAATGAGCTGTATAATATGAATGAGCAACAAGTGTCAAAATTTCACTCTTCCAGCGAGTGTAACTATTGACTCCAGACTACGAATTACGCACTTTAAAATTGTGAATAATCTATTACCAACTAATGAATGGCTGGAAAGTATAGGAAGGAAAATAGTTCATTGTACTCTTTTTGCAATGCGACACTCGAGACGATGGATCATTTATTTTTTACATGTCCTAAAATAGGAGCCTTTTGGAATGCGCTACGCAGAAGAGCGATGGACTTTATTCCCGATTATTTGGAATTACTGAACCAAAAGGTCAAGCCAGATCAGCTTTTAACTTTCTTACTTTACTCGGTAAACAGTTCATTTTACGTTGTAAATATCAAGAGATTACGCCTAGTTTGAAACAATTTAATCATTATATTTTGTCTTATAAATTCACTGAAGAATATATCCCCCCCCCCCCAAAAAAAAAAAAAAAAAATATATATATATATATATAAATTAATAATAATAAAAATAATAATAATAATGAAAAAAAAAAAATTAAATAAAAAAATAAATAAAAATAGAGAGGCATATGACAAAGTGGCAAAACATGTTGCGTTGCGTAATGATAAAACGTTTTAAAGGATATAACTTTTAGATTTGTTTGTTTGTTTTTAATACGTAATTTCATTTTCATGTTGTGGTGTATTTGATGTGCTATGTTCCATTTTGTAATAGAAAAGGTCAGATTATATCGTGCGTTATACCCCGGCGGTGCCGCCGAGCCGACTACGGACCGACGGGGGCTTCTTTACTTCTTAACCTCTCTCTTTCCATTTAGTGTCGGTCTGATGGTCGTATCGTCTGTGCGGCCGGAGCATGCAGAAGTATCATGCTATATTTTTGTAATGTTACACTTTAATGTAAAACAATATGATTGTAAGTGTAAAATAATATGATTGTAAGTGTAAAACAATATGATTGTAAGTCTAAAACAATATGATTATTTATTTTTCTGCAAAAAAATGTAACGCATATTTTGTAAATCATTGTGTTTTTTGACCAATAAAACTAAATCAAGATAAACAATAAATAATAGAGTAATGCCTCTGAATGCTTCTTTAATATTCCCATGACATACATTATATCTGCGATATTGGTCGACTTCCGGAGCTGCATTTCAGAAAACCTGCACAAGGTATGTTCATGACAAAATAAACAATTACAACTTTTAGTTGACTTTTGTGTCTACAATTCTACTTCCTGTGGAATCTCGAAAGAAAATCCTCAGTCACCCGGATTCTTTTCAAGTGAATTCAGAATTTATTGATGACGGTCACGGACCAAAGAATATCATACATTTAGCAAAGAAATCGTTCTATTGATGTTTCTATATAAGAACAACAAAAAATCAGCAAATTGGAACACCAAAATCAGATAACATTTGTAGAGTGTATGTGTGACATTAGCACATATCCATTCTAACAAAATTAATGTATATGACAAGGTAAACATATACAATGTAATTATTTGTTAATATCAAAATACAATGTAGTTCAGTCAGATACAGGATACAAGGTAGTAACACAGAAAATAAGGTGCGTGTATTTTGGGGGTGTGTGTGTGTGTGTTTAAGAGAAGGGGCATACAGGGAATACACAGATAAAGAAAACAGTCTAAGGGTGCTTGTGCGTGTGCGTGAGTGTGTGTAGTTTCTCAAAAGCTACCACATGACGCAAGTTTAATCGTGTCACTCTCCAGATCGTTCTATATCCGAGGGTGTTTTGTCAATAAACCAAAGTTTTGTAATTGATTTGTTAGTAGATTAATAATGTTTCTTCTACAACAAAGGATACCCCTAAAATCAGGATTAAAATATGGTTTCGGTACCTAAAGTAATTGATCATTAAGCACCAAAAGATCAGAAAATAATCACCTTTTTAGAGTAAGAGCAGAAGGTGAAAGGAAAAAGGAACACACTTTTAAGAAAGCTGATTTATGGTCCATGCAGAGCAGACAAATTAATAAGATAGGTCATTGCACAGATAACATAAACATATACATATTATATATATATTATAAATCGATTGGTATCAAATGCTGAGAGAAATTATTATGGTCATCATTATTCATCGATCATTCCTTGACAAAACAAAATTGAATACAAAAAATCCGTCAAAATAAAAATTCAACTTCTGCTATATTAAAGGATCTAGAGATGGCAAAACATTATGAAAACATAATTATTCAACCAGTGTATATCCATCGGTACTGTTTACATATTCTTAATCTCTCACATGCCTTTTACATGATCAACTTCTGACTGCATCTGCAATGTTTGCACGACTCTTTGACGTCTCTCCTGAAACTGTTGTTGACCAAATAGTAGACGAAGAAGTTGACGATGTGGTTAAGGAGTCTGAGAGCGTAGAAGATTTGGATAATTGTAAAATATCCAGGAATTCGACTAGCTCTTAGAACAGCCTTACGTGGAATGATAGGAACTATAACCTTTGGAGTCCACGTGACGAAAAAGAATATTGTTATGATAAGGAGCATACGGGTCGTCTTCCTTCCGTAGTCGCTTTCCTTATTGTTTTTCAATTTCTGGATTCGCTTCGTACCCTGGCGTTCGAAAGCTTTCATCTTCGTTGATGACGCCAGGGAAGATAGGATTTTTCCTTGGCTTGTGTTTGACGGTTGATTTTCCCGTGACGTTTCAGTCACTGCACATGTGACATGAGAGCCGGAGGGCCTAGACCTACGTCTAGGTGACGATGACAAGGTAATGTTACTTGAACATCCTGCTGTCTCTGAATGCAACAAAACCTCATCTGTTTTGACTTTATTCTCGATACTCGTAACACCGAAGGTAGAAGTTCTGTCCTCCGTTTTTGCTTTTGCTGCGATCATATGGTTTTCCCTCGGGCTGGAATCTTGCAAACCGCCACTATAGTCACGAGCGTTTCTTGTACTAACAGTAGCGACAGCGGGATGCTTCCCCGTCATGTCGGCGTGAATCTTTGCTCTCTTACGAAGGGAAACGTAGATCAAAGCGTAAAGGACAGTATTCGTCATCAGCGATACGGCGAATAACACCAAAGACGATATTGTTGAACCAAAGACGTAAGAGCCGTAAACGAAGCACAGGCTTCTTCCAAGACGTCTGAAGTGACGAGCTTCAGTAAACACTGCAGCTGGAATGTTACTCACGGTGGAAACGACCGTACACAGTATCGCAATGCAAATGGACATACGTAACGTCATTCGTCGTCGTAATGGACGACACACAGCCATGTAGCGATCGATGCTGATGGCAGTGGTCAGATAAAGTGAGGCAAAAGCCGTCGTATTTTCGGCGAGAGATGCCGCTTTACACAAATTTTCTGTCGTCAGCCCTGGGAATGCACTGCGGATGATGAAGGCAGGAGAGAATACACAAGCGACAAAATCAACTATCGCTTGAGCCATGATAAGGATATCGGTGCTCGTCTTCCGTTTTTTCCACGCGTAGGCTTTGATGATGACAGCATTCCCCGGTAGTCCTAAGACCAACACCATCGTATAATAGGTTAAGTTAACAACAGTAACAACATTTTGGTCCGTCATCTCATAGATATTTTTTTTAGATGTAATCAAATCATTAGCTGAGTCGTTCATTGTTGTGAACAAAGTGTTCATTTCCGAAGACGAATTCATGTAGTATGCCATGTTTTATTTCTATCTTACGTTATTCTTTCTTGAACTCTGTCTGGATTTGAATAACGTCCTACAAAGGACCTAACTTTGGCAAATAAATGTTGCTGTTAAAGCAAACTTCTTGACATCTTGAATCTATAAAATCAACGCTTAGCACTCTGTCAGCTTGTCCATCGCCGTCAGCAGATCAACCGATGATCTCAGCCGAAATAGGGCCGTGTTGCCTAAGTAATTATCTTGGCACAAATGATCTTGTCCATGGATATTTTGCTACGTGCGTCAAAAGTTGGGAGAGCTTGCCATGGCAGCAGTGATGAAGTGAAAAAGCAAACATTATTACGGAGAAAGTGAGTGAAATGAGGAAAAGAGATGAGAAGGATTTAGAGAGAAAGGGAGAGAGCGTGACAAAGAGTTAGAAGATATTTGATGGATACCATTATGTGATCAACGTCAATTTAATGTGTCCTTAAAACCATTTAAGCCGTCACTCTATTTGCAATTATGTAATTTATCAGACGGCATGCATGTCTGTTTTTAGAGGTTCTTCATGAGCATATATGCGTTTAAAATCGAAAGCTAAGGTTAAAAATACTCGAAATTTATTCCATTAAAACATTAAGCAACAAAATTTAATGAGCTTAAGGGAGAGTGAGTGACATTCGTGATAGACACGATTTCATATCTTTTTACATTTCTTTTCAAATCATGATGTAATTGCACTTTGATCCTTTAAAGAGGCAATATTAAGAGCTCTTTTCATCACAGTTCCATTCAGCGATGTTATTTTCATACTCTCTCAATAGCATGAAGGTTATTGCTTACACTGCATTCACACTGCCGAGACCGAGACAAGAAAAGTACTTTATTAACTTGATCTAGCGGTTGTGGGTGCGAATCCCAGCCCGGAACTTTTTTTCAGGGCATTAATCCACATTTGCCAGTCTTCACCCGGATGTTAATGGGTACCTTGCGATTGCTAGGGTAATAAAATGTGTACGGCCATCAGGGAGAACAGCATTGGTGCTGATTAGCTTTCCTAGGTACAAGTAATCATTAATTTAAAAAAATATATATATAGAAATTATTTTAATGATAATATAATTAGTATTACTTTCGTTTTAATTATTATATTTATTATTTTTATAACAAGAGACCAAACACAATATACATTTCGCCGAATGGCCGAACATTCGTTGATTTTGAATCGGTGTGACTGAGGTATTATGGATCGTGTGGCAAATTAGCACCAATGTAAAAAGTGAGAAGTGACTGAAAGTGACATCTTGTACAAGGCAGGAGAGTGCTTTATATCATCATCGTATAATGTCTTTCGATCAAATTAAAAGGGTTATTTGATATGAAGTTCATAATGATCAAGAGAGAGCGTAAAGCGGAGGCGTAGGGTTTTCTTGACACGCTATTTATCGAGATACGGGATTAGGGGGATACACAAGACGGTGTATACATGCGGCCATTGTTGGTGACTCTGCCAGATGTAATTTTACTCTGAAACCATCTAAGTTTCACCTTCCTTTAAAAATGTAGGATATTTAATTCAAGTTCACCTAGCCATGTGCTCTTAGTATAAAATGTATTGCAACTCTTAACTAGGCGTTGTACGTGGCGTGCGCCTGTAATCCAGCTAACAGTGGAAGTTACAAACTGATTCAGCCGAAAACGCAGGTTCGAAACTGAGTCACGGATGGTGACGTTTAAAGGTCGGTCCCCAGACTTTAATAATCATATCTGGTTGATGCACGTCTGTAAAACCACAATACACACACACACACACCCACACACTCTTATAAGTAAAATATGGAAAGCTTTAGTAGCATTTTGTTCGAAGCTATATGTATGAATGTAATGCAGATGGGTTTGTTGCTTAGTTGGTTTGACATGAATTAAGGGGGTGGTTGTGATACCAACCGAGCAATCATTTCTAGGACCTTGTTTGATCCTGGTCGAACATTTGGTGCTCTTACGTAAGCCCCTGCGACTGTTAAGTCAAAGATGGAGGGTAAGAGTTAGGATTATAATTGGGTTTTATGTAATTAAGTTCAGGGTTAGGATTAGCATAGTTAGGATTAGGTTTGGTGTTTGCTCTACGGTTGAAGAATTCGGTTAATGTAGGATATTACAGCATGTGGATTCAACATGACTTTCATTTGTATTGTCAAGTAAGCTGGTAGGGATTTAATTAAATTGCTGAACAAAATATGATGCGATTTTCTTAACATTTAGATCCATCACTTGTTTGCATTATTCCAAGCTTGGACCAGTTTCAGTTCTTTAGTCATGTGCTGTACTACCAAAAATCTTTGCGGCACATCACACTAGATTCATAGTATATCTGAGTTTTCATTATGAAAGATTTTAAATTGTAAAAACAATGTCCAATCTAAGTTTTCTTTTAAAGTTTTCATATATTCATGTATAACAAAATTATTTTGATATACATATTTTAGGTACTGAACGATTGTTCATTTGAAATGTGTATAAGGTAGGACTATCAATTACAGTACTACAGAAAACGAAATAAGATTAAATACAAATAATACGACGAGATAAGATAGATATAATCAGATGTATTAGCTTTTACTCAAAATGTATCATAGAACACGTAACGTATACAAATATAAACTGTCTTGAGAAGTTCTGGTTAAAACTATGCAAGAGGTGACTCCAACAACAGAACATGTCAGAAAACTCAAGATCTAAAGCTTTGAAAATCTGAAGTTGACGACCTAAAAAAATGCTATCGACTTGATGACATCATCCTAATATGGAGTACGCATATTCACAATGACTTTGTATTAATTAAGCACAGCTCATTGCCTCAGCTATATAGGTGAACCAGTCGGGTCCACATGTTATGTCGTCACTGGACCTTCGGCAAATTTGACCCCCGTTGAAAATGGGTGCGAAAATGAGGTTGTAATTTGCTTTTGTGCAAGATTGCAAGGGTAAATACTTTGTGTCCTTTATATTTGTATTCTACATTAATTCAGTTTTCCATTTATACCAAGTTGTTTTATCATCGGATAGAGTTTTTAAATATACATTTTTTTCTTTTGTGATATGCTTCTAAATTTTTCGCTCTATACCATCTGGTCTTCGCATCGCATCACGTTGTCAGGATAACGAAGTTTCGGAAAAGATAACGAATGATCCGAATGATAACTGACCAGCCTTGATATGCATAGGCGCCGGAAGTGGGGGGGCAGGGGGGGCAGTTGCCCCCCCAGTCAAAAAAGTGGGGGGGCAAAACGCATTTTTGCCCCCCCAAAACGCCCCCCCCCCCCTCCAAAAAAAAAAAAAAAAAAAAGCAGTAAAGGAATAAACATGGTTTGTATTTTTAACCCAAAAGAACATAACAATAATAAAAACCTGAATTAAAGCACATATACCATTCCATTCAAAGAAAAGGAAAGTTCACAGGAATTAAATTTTTATAAACATTGCGCATGCTACCTATACGGTTTATAATAGCGATACGCGCATATCGTGGACATATTGTGCGAGAATGGGAAAACGTGTCTGTTTTTTTGGTTTTGTTATAGGGGTGAGAAGACATGAGCCCCTGAACGCTGGCGTACTGATGGGGGGGGTATATCTATACGATACCAGTGATTTACACATGTTGCTGTTATGACATGATTTTCCGGTATTTTTTCTCCATTTTTTTTTAAGTCATACCTTTTTATGCGTTTGTTGGAAAATAAGAAATTCCCAAATTACAGTCGGGCGAAAAATACGCTTATTTAGAAGCCTTTATGACATGGTCTGCAAAGTGGCTGGGCTCGAGCCCCTCCCCCCCTCACTTTTTGAAAAAGTATGTTAAAGAGAAAAAGAAAGAAAGACGGAGAGAAAAAATAAGTGACCTGCCAATGTCACAAATAAGGCATAAAAAATGCTCATCTGACCGTAATTAAATGCCTAAAACCCCAGAGCTTACGGGTGCTCCGCCCCCGGACCCCACCAAGGGCCCTAAGGCGGGCCCCTGGATGCTCATCTGACCGTAATTAAATACCTAAAACCCCTGAGCTTCCGGGGGCTCTGCCCCCTGGACCCCACCAAGGGCCCTATAAGGCGGGCCCCTGGATGCTCATCTGACCATTATTAAATACCTAAAACCCCTGAGCTTCCGGGGGCTCTGCCCCCTGGACCCCACCAAGGGCCCTATAAGGCGGGCCCCTGGATGCTCATCTGACCATTATTCAATACCTAAAACCCCTGAGCTTCCGGGGGCCCTGCCCCCTGGACCCCACCAAGTGCCCTAGGGCGGCCCCTGGTTGCTCATCTGACCGTAGTTAAATATTAAAACCTCTGAGCTTCTGGGGGCTCCCCCCCCCCCCCTCTGGAACACGTCAATGGCCTTAAAGAGGCCCCTGGATGCTCATCTAACCGTAATTAAATACCTAAAATCCCTGAGCTTCCGGGGGCTCAGCCCCTTGACACCCTGCCGAGGCTGGACCCCACGCCAATTTACGCTCTACCTGATCGTTAATACTTCACTTTGAAAAACGTTCCGCGGGACCTGCATGTAACGTGTAAGACTGGTGGTGATGCAGATTTTTCGTCTGCCCCCCCCCCTTCCGAACGTTTTTTCTCATTACGTCACTGCCCTCGGAAGGTGAGCCCCCTGGAATGTTTGCCCCCCCAATCCCAAACTGCTTCCGGCGCGCCTGTTGATATGCATTATACGCCCAGTACGTCAAGATATACGAGTACGTGGAAACATATATGAAAACAGGGACAAACGAAATATTAAAGAAGCTTTGATATAAGTATACTCGTGTACAGTTTGTTGGGTATTAAAAAATTAATCGCATAGGACGTCACACGTCCACTGCGAGAAGCGTCATCAAGCCGATTTTACTAAGGGCTCTTTGAAGGTTAACAGAGAAGGGCAGTTCGTTTCCCGACGTTCCTTGACCACAACACCACGTTTACGGGTCAACAATCATTTGGTGTCAAAGATCAGTCGGCGTCCCGGAGTAGACCTGAAACGTCGAAAGCTAAACGAATGTAAATAAACTTAGGTTGATGAAGGTTTTCTGGTGATTTCTTATAAATTGAGCGCCTTCTGGGGAACATCCATTATTATTTTTACGAGGAAAAGGAGCAATATTTTCTCCGGGGATGTATCAATAAGAAGGAACTGTGAAATCAGATCTTCTTCGTTACTTATGATTCCACCTACATGACTTTCATCCAAGATGGTGGAGCGCTCGTTGGGTTTCTCACCAGAGGATACCAGAGGGGCTATATCAGACATATCTTCAGGTAGGACTTGCATTTCATAAATGGACGACGGTTCAGAAGGTTGAATGCTCCTTAAGTTGGTCATATCATCCCCCGCATGAGCTACTTCAGAGGGCACGTCTTCAGAAGTCACTTCAGGTGCATTAAAGCTCTCTGTATTGCACTTCGGTGACTTGTCAGGATGTTGACTCCTACTTCCATCCGTCAAGTCCTCCTGGATTTTGGAAGCCGTATCTCCTCTATGCCCATCTCGAGGAGTGTGGTCATTGCTTACTGTAGCCCCCCGGCGTACCTGTATGTCATCGTGTCCTTTGGTTTGGTACTGTTCTAAAGAGGTCTCATCTCCAGTAGAGAGCTGCTGATCGTTGGCGTCTTCGTTGACATATTCAGTATCCAACTGTGTATCTGTTGTATATGGCAGATAGTAGGGGAAATGGTTTCTAAAAACGTATCGAATTGCGGTTATCATGATTATGTAGAATTTATCACAGTGAATTTCCATTTTCTAACACGGTTAATTTAAGTTCACGATACAGTAATGAAGACCGGATTGTTCTCTGCAGAGAACGTTTTAATTTACCAATATGCAAATTTTGGGTTTTTCGTGTACACAACTATTATAGAGAAATAAGCTAACGGAAAAGTGTACATAACCCATTTTCTCCTCATTACGTCAACTTATCATCAGTAAAAAAAGAATGTCAACAGATTAATAGCACATTTGGGTAATTTTCTCAGCATTATATCAAAAGCAAGTATCGGTAGTTTGAATGTATGAAATAGATTTAAAATGGAACTAAACCCATGGGGTGTATCGCCGAGCAAACATGCCAGTAAATCACGTGTTGCCAAAGTGTATTGTGACCTTTCTTCTGAGAATATCATACATTACCTTCCCTGAGATACAGGTCTGCAATATTGACCAACTTAGCAGCTTGGAGTGCCCTCTTGAGCTCCATCCGTTCTTCTTCCCTGGACACACCTTTTCTCCATTGTTTCAGCAATTCCCGAGTTCCATCACTGGTCACACGGTTGAACCTCATATTGGTCATGAGCGCTCTCTGTATATCACCATGTAAGATTCCTAGTTGACCACCAAGGCTGTCAATCTTGGCTTCATCGTAAAGATCGTCAGCTATCTGCTTTAAGATGTCTGCAAACTCATCATCTGGGGGCTCCTCTCTAGAAGGGTACATGGTAATAACGAATACAGATACAAACAAGGGGGCGGTTAGAGAACGTAAGTATAAAAATGTATCAGGTTAAATATTAATCAAAGACCTAATCTTTTAAACGATGCAAAAAAGGTCTTCCGATGATGAGACCATGGACCTAAAAGATCATACTCAACATGCTCAAATTAGTAATGGAAATTCATTAAAGGAATCCACGTTTAACTTAAATCACCATAGAGATTGCAGCTACGATCTTCTTCTCTTTTTTTTCTTTTTTTTTGTTGCTGTTATTGAGTTTTAATCTTTTCTTCATTTCCACCTTTACATAAATCATTATGAATAAATAAACAAATAAATTATTGAATAAAAATGAAATATTAAAATATGATTTTGAATTTGAGGAACATAAGTTCCTGCCATATATTTAGAACCGTTATTGAAAACCTAGCATCACTTATTTTACACACCCCGAAAGGTGAAAGCAGCAGTATATTTCGTAGTAATTTTTGTCACTACAAGAGAAAAGAGAGTGCTTTCATTTTAATGTTTAGAGTATTAAAGTTATGCCATCTCACCCTGCTCGTAATATATTCTTTCCCAGTCCTCCGGTTGAATTATGCTCAGATGATGGTGATGTGCCTGTTATGAGGGAATGAAGTCAGGTTAATGGGGGGAAATGTAATATTAGAGAAAAATAATTTAAAGGATCTTTATTGTTCACTGTATATCTATGTTTGTTTTAAAACATTCTCAAGTTTAGATAATGCACAAGTATTACATTATCCGGGTTGCCATGGATTATGCAATCGAATGGCGTTGTATTTGGTTAAAATCACCTCCTCAGTTGAAACAACAAGAAAAAACTGACACATCAATTCCGTTTTCACACTATTTTTGGCTGTGATAAGCTTAATATTCTAAGTATTTCCAAAGTAGCGGGGAAATGGGATAGGGAGCTACGACGATGGTATTTGAATTGATAAGCTTCACATTTTATGTACTTCAAAAAATAGCTAAAAATGGGATAGAAATAATGTGAAAAGAAAAAAGGGTTTGAAAAAGAATATGATATTAGAAAATATAGTCTTACCACCCTGAGCGTGTTTTCCAGAATTCACCCAAGGAATGAAATTCCATTGATGTTTCTCTGCTTTCTTCTTCTGCTCTGCTGATCGTATCTCACTTTCTAGTTGAATTTTGGTTCTCAGCTTCCAGGTCTCACGCTCAAGCTGCTCCATAAGCTGTTCCTTGTAATCAATCTCCTTCATCCAGCTTAATTCCATTGACTGTTTTTCCTTCTCAAATCGTGAACTGTCTCTCTCTCTTCCTTTCTTCGACTCTTCAAATTGCTGTTTTAGAGTCGTCTCATTTCGTTCTTTCTCCACTACGATTTCCTCCAACTCTAGCACTCTTTGTTTATACATCCCCATAGCGTGCTTTGCTACTTTCTCATTATCACTCATAGTAATTTCAACCTGCTCTCGTTGTTCTTGTTCATGTATAATCTTGCTTTTAAGTATCACGTTTTTATTGACGAGGTCTCTACGACGTACTAAGGATTCTTCACATCTCCGTTCAATCTCCTTAATTTCATGTTTTCGCTGTTCGACCTCTTCAGACATCTTCTGATTTACTTCTTTCGCCTCTTTCTTGGTTTTCTCATTGAGCAGCTTACATCGTGGATTCGTGCATATCTTCTTGAGATCATCAAGTGCTAACGCTCTGTCACCTTCTTGGATGCATCCATGTAGAAGGCGAAGCCACTGGTACTGCAAGTATTCGTCATCTGCTAACATATAATCATTAGGCCAATCTACTTCGTAGATATCAGTGATCCCGACTTGCTCTAATTGATATCTCGCTTTGGGGACGTCTCCGCGAAGAATCAAAGCACACAAAGGGACGCGTCCTATCAAATCGAAACATATTCAATGAGTTTACTCGAAATCACGTCCAATGTCATTATAATTTTATGATATCTTCATACCATACATACGACAAATTTTTCCGGGTGGGGTGGGGGGGGGGGTTCACACAAAAGCATGGATAAATTCCGAAATCCTTTGTCGTCTATGTATTTTAATCAGTATTCTCAGTGGCATAGAATATGATGCCATATTTAAGTGGAAAATAGAATGGGCAAAATCGAGTGAGAAAGGAAGGGAGGTAGAGAGAGAAGGAAAGAGATAGGAGAAAAGGGTGATAAAGGAAGGAGACTGAAGAGGAGTCGGAATAAATGTTATGAATAATGAAATAGTTATACATTTACAACTATGAAAATGGAAATGAAAAGTTACAGACATGGTAGAAAAGTTAGTCGGGACAATCATGATAAAATAGACTGATTGATATTGTTTATGTTATTGTTTAACCACAACAACTTCGACGGAAAAATGAAACAGGGTTGCGAAATCTAAAGATCGGTATATAGTTAGTGTAAAGCTCAGTGAAAATTATTTAATCAATAAATGAATGAGATCAAGACCACGTTGGGTTCGAATGATATAATACCCAATTACCATAATTATATTTAACTTTAATCAACCCCATACCTCGGCTCTAAATCAGAAAGCTGTATCCCGTACAAGAAAATGGCTATTTGATTTTGCTTTATTAATGGTTCATCCAAATATAAGGTCATACGCGTTTCAGTATTTGTATGTTCAAATTGCTTGCAGTAAACTGTCAGATAGTGGCTGTATGTCTCACACATATGACTATGTTCAGATGATTAAGGTCGACGATGTCAACACGGGGGGCGAGTTAGTTGTTTTGAGGGAATTTTACACTGTTGGTCATAAAGGTAGAATAATTTATGTAACCCCAAATTACGGAATGATTGTGACAATGATTTATTCTTAATATATCTAGATAATGGTATATGATTCCATACATTCTCAGATTTTATTGAATAATAATTTGCGAGCGTTGGTTTTTGCGTGACTGCTAAAGCATGTATATGCTACTATGCTCATCAACTAGGGGACCTACGCCCATAAGTCATAACTGACAGAAATGAGGATTTAATGCCTCACAAAAGGGCACTTATATAGCACATTGACACGTTTTTGATCCTGGGGCCTCACAGTAACGAGGACATCGATTTGCCATTAAATCATGACCGTACTCAGCGGGGGCTAGGGTAGGGGGCACCCCCACATATTAAATCAAACAAAGAAAATGCAATAAATTAACAAGAATTCATTGCATTTTTCCCCGATCCCCCAAAAGAAAAAAATCCTCTGTTTGGCCAAGCCTTGAACCATAATGCATGGCCTCACAGAGGATTTTTTTTTCTGATGCGCCTCCCTATATGTCTTCGGTTTATTCTCCCACCTACCACTAAGGATTGAGAGCAAACTCACCAGTAATCGTCTTTGTTGTCCCGATCCATGCTGTGTAATATGAAACAGTAGCCGGGCTGACGATAAAAATAAGAAAATGCATCGATTCAAAATCATTATTATTCACGTGGTGGTGATTAAAAGTTTAATAATAGCAAAATGCAATTTGAATTTGAACCCCCCCCCCCTACCAACCAACTAAAAACAACAGAAACTGTATGTTTGTATACTTCATTGAAACGATTAGAATAAGCGTTCTTAGTGCTCTAAAAGGCAAGCTTTCTGCAAATAAAATTAAAATTGTCTCGCCAAGTCTGTTGAATACTATAATCATAATTCAGTGTTTCAGTCCGAATTAATTAATCGATTAAAGGGATAGTTGAGGTTTGGTATAGAGAGAGCTACACAGAATATTGTTTGGTTAGATAATAACAAACTGAGTGTCAACTTTGAAAGAGCAAACAATTAAATTACAAAATTATCTTTGTCTGATTAAAATTGGTTCAGAGACGGCGAGTATTCGATAATTTTGAACCAGCCGCTGAAAAAAAGTTTATTCCAGCCAATGCCAAAGTTGGCTTTTTTGTTGGTTATAATGCGCACAAATAAGTCATATATAAGAATAAGAGCAATAGTCATGAACTTTGAAGGCATTTGTGGTCTTAAACAAGAAATCAACTGTCCCTTTAATAAATAACCATCGCTTTTATTAACAGCGTTTACGGAATACTGGCTAAGCGCAGACTTATTTCCCCTATTGTTTTAAGTTCCTAGTCTAATTTCTAATATATCGCTATATATATATATACAGGCGCGTACGCAGGATTTTTTCAAGGGGGGGGTTTTAACATTTATAAATCGGGCCGAAAATTTCGCAACGACTCAGCCAGCCGCTGAATAAGCGGGGGGGGGGGGGGTAAGAGGTCACTTTTTTGGGGGGGGGTCCCAAAAAAATCGCAACGACTCAGCCGACCGCTGAATAAGCGGGGGGGGGGGGGGGGGGGGGGGGGGGGTAAGAGGACACATTTTTTTTTTTTTTTTGGTCTCGAAATTTGAAAATTTGACATTTTGCTCCGTTGGGGGGGGGTAAGGTCTGCTTTTTTAGGTCAACCATGGGATTTTTTTTTTTTTTTTTTTTTTTTTTTTTTTTTTTTTTTTAAATCCAAAAGGGGGGGGGGGTTTCAGAGAAATTTAGGGGGGGGTTTACACACAAAAAATTACCAAAGGGGGGGGGTTTAACCCCCTAAACACCCCCCCTGTGTACGCGCCTGTATATATATATATATATATATATATTCATATGGCCCATGTGAATATGACAACGAAAAAGATAATACTCACCTAACTATCATCACCATACATCCAACCTTCCCAGCAATGTCTTTTCCGTATTCTTCCAATTCATACAGTGTGCCTGTTAAAGAAAAACGTATTTCATACATCGTTCATGATGTGATGGACTTTTGAGATATAATGAACATGACATTTACCCTACATGAACAGGAATAAAGTCGACAAGCTTTTTTAGTTCATTAAAATACATTCATTATTCCAAAATAACACAAATGTGTTTTGTGTAAAACCAAAACAATGAACATAATGCGTTTAATGAAGAAAAATTATTAATTGATTTTTGATAGAAAGTAGGTTGCCAAAATATGATAAATATTTGCAGTTCTACAATCGAAAATTATACGCGGTACAAATTGAATTTTGAATGATTGTAAGTAGTTTTATAGGTCTAATGTCATTTCAAAATATTTTAAGAATTGGATTGGGTAGTAAAAGAACAATGTCAAAACCAGAAATAGAAATACCAAGAACAAAAACTTACAAACAAATATTACAAAAAACACCGAACCTAGTAATGTCTAAAAACGAGGCGGTTTAAAAATACCAATTCACCCCTCCCTTTAATCAAAATTGGGCATCTATATATATCAAAACTTTTTGAGCTTAGTGATACTAAAAATGAATTTGAGAAACCCATGTTTGGGCCCCTTATGTTTATCCTGACTCCTTATATGCTTTTGAGAGAGAAAAAGATCAATCATATGATTATTCGCAGTTCCTTTTTTAACAATCCCAATGAGGTATTCTGACGTCAAGCCATTTCGAAAACACGTTTCTACAATTTACATTCACATGTGTATGCTTATGCATAATACTTTCCTGGTAGTCTCCAAACTAATTACATAAGGCAGATCAGGTATACATGGTCACGGTGAAACATAAACACTATCTAACTAATAATTGTTTCATAGATGACATGTTAAATCAATCAACGGCTTACACATATTCGTTGTTTATATTTCGTCAATTTTTAATGATATATTGCGCTCCGTGTGTTTGATGTGTGCCACGCAATAAGAATTATAAGCGCTTCACGTTTTAATGCTAAATCAATGACTTAAAAAGAGAACGCAAGTATTCGCATAATTTTCCCTTTTACACGATGTCAGAAGTCAATGGGTTACTTATAGGTGTATGTCATGGTTCATACCCTCAATATGCAAACAATTAAAGTTTCAAGGACGACGGATATTAAGCAAATATAATTGAACAATTCAAGCGACTGAGTATAGCTATGACATTGTTGAATAACGTATGGTTGCAATGCAGTGTAGTATCCTGCCAACTTGTCAAGCGAGCTCAATTAGGATGATCGCGCGGTTTATAGTGAAACCCCAATTATTGTTTACTTCAAATTTACAAACACGCAGTTCGGTATAAATTCTCACATGTTGGGCACGTGTGCAATAAGTGTTTTCTAGAGACAATGAAGAACCAAACAGGAAATCAAAATAAACTATTTGTTGTACCCAACTTATTTTGAGTGTCTAGACATTCTTCATAATGCTAGTTTATTAGGGCAAAAGGGCATTCCGTTGGTTCAGTAATACTAAAAAACATAATTTTCCCATACAATTTATTATTTTACCACAAACATACCTTATGGTTAAGAAACATGCTTTCATCCCCAATATATAGGTTTATAGTAGAGGATGTAGTTTTATTTTGTAAATACATCAAACACATACAAAACAACATTGCAATTTTGTTCAATATACAAACCATCGGAATATTTCATGATGACAGATATAGAATCGGTCATATACTCCTCCTGGTCCTCAGTAGATGTTTGACAATTATCAGCCAGATCCTTCGGCTCTACGTCTCCATGAAGAGCACATCTGAGGGCATGGGCCATGCCGACACCATACCCGCACAAATCAACCATACCAATGGCAAGCTTATCAGGAAACATCACTCGTTCATCGTCACATGGCACAACTTTGCCTGGTGTGTACGTCAAGATTTCATGTCGTATTTCATCCTCCCCTTTCAAGTCCCACGAGCTGGAAGTAGCCATCTTTGTACAAATTTCGGCTTGAATACACGAACAAACATGTTAGACGCTCAATAGCATACAGATTTGTCGTATTCTTTCTATGTAATCGTGTAACACAATAGTTATTACAGGGTGTATGAAAATGATTATCTAAAGGCGCGTATCGTGCACAAAAGGGGAAACGAATGAGGAAATCCTACCAATGGTAAAACAAACTTTGTGGTTGTGGTATGAACCGCAAATTTAATATTGGAATAACATAATTTCCAAAACCGCCCACATGCACACGCACACAATTTACAATAATTATCTCCATGTTAATGATGGGCGGAATCACAATGTGCAATATACACCTTTAAATCAAGTTTGGTCAAGGTTACATAATGATTAAATTTAAGTTAACGAATAACCATCTCACGTTTTTTTTTTCTTTTCTTACCCAACCTAATAAGATTTACCTAATCGGCAGCATTGTGCTGTCAAAAAAAAAAAATCAATTTTCGGTATCTATGTAGCAAAGTTTGAATTTCTTGTCAATGTATAATCTTAAACATTTCGATTTTATAGATGTATACATTTCTCGTTAAATCTTGCTTTTATAACAAGCATATGATTTGGCGTTGTCAAATGAATTCATTACCCCTTTTGAACAACAAGAACAACAAGATATGTAGTACTTCACGTACATAGCCCCTCCAAAGAAGTTCTAATTTTACAGCCATGTCGTATCTTGTTGCAGAAGTATATACCGACCAAAGTTTAGAATAAATGTCAGCCAATGTTCGCAATCAATTGCCTTTAAGGTGGAGGCGGACATGATTACATGCACTAGAAGACAAAGACAAACCATCAACAAACAGTAGATTGGTCATGTTATATGAAATTGGAAAAACCAAGAGCAAAAGCGGGGGTATAAAAATAAAAGAGGTTGAATCTACAGGGTGAGTCAGAAAAAATGTCCCACTTTTTAAAGGTTGTATTGTTTGAAGTTTGACTATTTAATCAGGGGTTTCATGATATGTCTGAATAGAGTTATCCTCCCAGTACATTTTGGTACCATTTTCATTTGAATCCCTTCACGCATGACTGAACATCAGACAATCTTTACAAGACTGCCATATTTCACTTGCGCTAAAACTTACTAGGTGAGGAATAAAACAGTGCATTGGACAAAGACAGTCAGACAGACACACACACACACACGGACACACACACGCACACACACGCTCACATAAACGCATACACACACGCACACACTCACCCACACACATACACACACACTCACATACGCACAAACACAGACAACACACGGTTACAATTGTCTGATAATTTTCCCTTTTCTGATTAAGCATTGATTTTTATCGAGATCCCTGAATGTTTATGCATTTCCCTGACAATCTTTCCCTTTAGTACACATTCACTACCACCATCATATCATCATCATTGTCATCATCTTAATCTTAATTATCATCATCATCATCATCATCATGAATTAGTGCACATGAATCCTCTCGACTTCTTCATGTTGGGGCACTTGAAGTCAAGGATCTTAAGCAGCCCACATGTGAACATCGAGAAGCTTCGGAGGAGAATCGTGGACGAGACAGACGTGGTACGCCAAGATGGGGACATGATCCGGCGAGCTTTTCAAGGAATGCTTCACTGTGCACAACTGTGCATCAGGAGGAATGGCGGCCATGTCAAGAATTGAGTACGGAGGAGGATGGAGAACTTTGGGGAAACAGATTCATTGTTGTACCACAATAAAATACCTCAACAAATACCCAAAAAATTGTTTTTTTAATTCACCGACGTTTGCGTTATTTGTATGTGAGTGTGTGCCTATGTGCGTGTTCGTGTGTGTGCAAGTGCGTGTGTGTGTGCGTGTGCGTGTGTCTGTCTGTCTGTCTGAATGTCTTTGTCCAATGCACTGTTTTATTCCTCACCCAGTAAGTTGGCGCAAGTGAAATCTGACAGTCTTGTAAAGATTGTCTGATATTCAGTCATGCATGAAGGGATTCAAATGAAAATGGTACCTAAATGTACTCAGAGGATAACTCTATCAAGACATATCATGAAACCCATAATTAAATATTCATACTTCAAACAATACAACTTTTGAAAAGTGGGACATTTTTTTCTGACTCACCCTGTATAGTGGCACCAACTCGCGCGTGCAGAAGGTAGGCCGTTCAAAGTGCCGTAACGTGTGGATTTCCGTCAGGCATAAGTGCAGCGATCGCTACCAAAATGTAACTCATGTTTGTTTTTGTTTGTGTTTTTTTTTTGGCGGGGGGGGGGGGGCTAACACAGAGTGTTATGATGTTTGTAATTCTGCAAGCTTTTTCTATGACCTTGGTATTTAACAAAGAATCGTGTTCAGCAGATCTTTTGAATTGCTTCATTTTTTCTCCTTCAAACAAACAACAACAACATTAGAAAGACAAATAATCGAATAACCATGTATGATAATTCTTCACGAGGTCATGGGAACTTGTCACACGTCACCATAAGGCCTAAAATAAAACCTTGTTATATTGCCCTTTGCGATCGACCCCAAAATCTGAAATTCTACGGTCGGCATTTAAAAAAAAAAAAAAAATGTGTAAACCGTTTTTTAGATTTTTGTATTATTAATGAATAAACAAAATATGTATATAGTTTGTTGGGATAAATGGGATATAAATGCATACGATCAAATCATTCCCAAATTCTCACTCGTCTTCTGTCCTACTTTCAAAACCCTACTAGCGTAAACATCTCGATCAACACAACATTGCAAACCATGGATTATTATGAGGTGAAAAAGATATGACTGGAATGATGACGCTGAAACACATGTATTACAGCATTAAAAACTGAGAAATATCAGCCAAAAGAGGGCGGGAAAAGAAAAAGTTTTAAAATAAAAACTTTTCGACCGACCGACCTATGTTTTGGCACCCAAAGGGAAATACAACAAGTTTTTTTTTTAGGCCTTGTAGTCCGGGAGCCGGAAAACGTACCTTACTAGCAATTAGCTTTTATCATTTTTACTCACCAACCTGTTTCGTTGACGATCAGCCATGCCTAAAGTCTTTTGTCAACTCTGTTTATAGCTACGACAGGCAGCCAGTGAAAACGAATTTTTTAAACAAAATTATGGAGATGCAATCATTATTTTGAACAAACAGAACTTTGTTATTCACAGGTCATTTTATCTAATTGAGGTGTATATGAAAATGCAAAATAAACTTTCTAGACATATGATGTTCTCTTTGAAATTCACATACTGTTCGCCAATTGACTTTTTGGTACCCTTTCTTCAATTTGTTTATAATCACCTATCCGTAAAATACGCGTAATATGAGTTGCATAAAAATAATAGTAGGATCTAAGCTTTACAAATATGTGTCATTTATTGATTATAATTGTGATAAAGTTAAGATAAAACATCGATAATTCTTGGTTTTGTTTTTTTCTGGGACGCACTGTATAGAGTGAGACGAGCAAGAGTGACAGAGTGAAAAAGAGAGAAGAGAGAGAGAGAGAGGAGGAAGAGGAAGAGAGAGCAAAATAAATGAATATGAGATCGCCTAATACAGCAAATGTCATTGAATGAAATTAAATACTAGCCAGGGGTAGGGGCCTATATTAATCATGTAGAAATTTAGTCTATCATTTAAAAGGGACTTGAAACGACAAAAAGTAATGTAAACCTGATTATAAGTGTATATATTTATAGTATATAGGATTTATTGAAATCAAATCACATCAAAATCCAAGAACAAACAGTCCGAAGACTGACACCTGTCTTGGATACAATATAAAATTTAAATCAATGATTCGTAATAAAATAGCAGTAACGAAAAACATAAATAAGTTACATAAGTTAAAATATCGAATAATTATCATCACGAAGAACATACAAACAGTAACAACAATAAGTCTACATTATTAGAATGACAGCAGTAGAGGACTCTCGAGGTGCGCAATAACTAAATCAGGCACAGACCGAGAGTCCAAAAAAGGAGAAAATGAAGAAGCATGAGACTATTTAAAGGGGTTTAAAAAGATTAACGGTGAAAGAGAGGGGAATACAACGTCAGCTAAACAAAATTAAAGTGACGCGCACAACCCAACCGGGAATCCTGCACGAACACGATTTAGCCGTCCCCACACCCAAAACACCCGCCATCCGATCCGGAATCCTCCCACTAGGTGAAGACCACGAACCTGACGGACGAATAATAGGGACTTTTAGATTCTGCACGACGAGAACGCGGACTGCCTTTTAAGGCAATGTGACGTCACTGCCAGTGCCTTAAAAGGACGTCGCATTGCCTTAAAAGGGCAGTCCACGTTCTCGTCGTGCAGAATCTAAAAGTCTCTAATGTGGGTACAGGGACGACCAACAAAAAAGACAGCAGTTTTCTCGGGCAGGTAGCTAGAGAGTAAAACGTAAAAGACAGGAGAGAGGGAAACTGAGCCCCAGAGGGATTCTATAACAATATATATCATTAAATACATTACAAAATATTAATATAAATATACATGTAAATATTAACATATTGCTCCGGTTGTCTCATTTTTGCTCGCTGGACGTATATAGCAGACGACAATCGGCGGATTAGACGACACTTGGTAGTGAATTTGTATGTGAGATTGCTCTGCTAAATATAAAATACAAGAACATTTTCCATATCTTTAAACTATCATTCATATCTGATAATTAAACAGTTATTAAAATAAACCTGCCAAACTACATAATACAATGAAATACTTGACTTAAAGTTGGGGAGTTCGATGTGGTGCACAACTGCACCCCTCTGTAAATAATCGAATAGTCCATGGCGATCATGAATATTCATGTTTTTGCTTACCTCGGCAAAATGTTTGCCCTACCTTCAATGGAAAAATTACGGTGGGGGTTGGCTGAATGGACATAAGGAACCGATCAGAATTGATTTATTATTATTCATGCTTCTTAATATCCTTCGTGTGCTTGACCTAAAACCTTACAATCGCTTGGCAAACTGAGTCCAAAGTTCGACATGTTTCACATGTGTAATATAGGCAATGGCGAGCTTGCAACCTATTTTGATCAAATTACGGTGGGTTAACTTTCAAAAGTCAATGGGACATGAGGGTTCCAATGAAAGAGCTAGTGATAACGTACATCGGGGTGGATCTGTTTTCGTTTAAACAAAAGAATTTTAAACTATTTTGGGGGTAAAATTCCATAGGCTAACATGTTAGGCTGCTAACTCCCGACGATAGGGGGCGTTGTCAAATGAGACTAGACGGAGCTATATGCACCAAAAAAATATAACATTTCAGTAAAATGTATTAAGGACACAGCCATTAGCCTATTAATAAAAGTGATGCTGGTAGTAGGATCTGAGTACGCCAATATACAAACTGTAAATTTTATGTATTAAAAGTTGAGATGAGCAAGTGTACTGTTGAATAATGGGAATATAATGCAGAAGGTATTATACAGTGAATGAAATTCCCATGAATGTATAGAAAGAGGAGAAAGGACAAAGATAGAGAGGAGGATGAGAAAGAGGGAGTAAAAGATGGAAGAGGAAGGAGAGAACAAGAAAGGGAGGAAGAGAAAGGAAGAGAAGGAAGAGAAACAGGGAAATAACAGTACAAACTGTAAAAATTTACACAAAAATAGTGCCTAAATACTGTAGATTTCATTTCAGAGTAGTAAGAGTACAAGTATTGCGATGATACATATAACATACAATAAAGAATGCCTCAAGAGAGCATATAAAGAGAAGAGAGTAAGATAAAGGGAGAGAGGGAGAAAATGAGAAAGTCTGAGAGAGATAGAGAGAGAGAGAGAGAGAGGGGGAATTAGATATGAAAAGAGTTAGGGAAATATCAATACGATCTGCAGAATCTGTAAAATCAGCACAAGTTTCCAAACATTGTGGACATCACTGCAATTATTATGAAATACATGTACATAAATTAAAATAAACATAAGCAATCTACCAAAGAAGAATAGAAATATAACAAGGAGGAAAAGAGAGGAGAATTCGACAAAAAGAGGTGAAAACACAAAATAGGAAAATGAGAAGGTGAGAGATTTACAGAAGCTTCATAATGTTGATCACCTTCACTGCCTGTGGTATGAATGAATGTTGGTATCTGGAAGTACGACAAGCTGGTTGGCAAAGAGGGTCACTGTTTCTCAACTGGCGACAAATTGGTAAGGAATCTCTACGTGGGGGGAGCATAGAAGCATGTCTGGATTGCAAGAGTGATTTAACAAAATTTATGAACAATTGTTGTCGTCTATCTCCAAGAGATGGGATCTCTAAAACTTCAAGGGCATGAAGATAATCAACATAATTATATCCCCAAATGATACGACAAGACCTTTTGGGGACTCGTTCGATCGTGTTCGACTGATTGGCAGTAATAGATCTTGACCACACTGGAGAGGCATATTCCACTAACTAATGTACATACTATAAATAGCAACCAAATCATCTCGTGGAGGTTTGTGTTTGTTATAAGTGTAAGTACACTCCTAATGACTTAACAAACTCAGTAGGTTGAAGGACAGAATTAATGATGCTAACTTCGGGCATAACAATCTGGTTCCGAAAAAGAGATATGCAATACCTTACACTTCTCAGGTTTAGGGGTCATCTGATTATCAACAGAACTCAACAGAACAGTAATCATATATAGATAAATAATCTTGCAATTTGGAAGGTTGAGATTTGTGTCTGAGTTCAGAGATACTCGAATCATCAACATATTTCCATCTCAGAGGGGTAGAGGTTGCAACATCATTTGTCATGATTAAGAAAAGGATGGGACCGAGCCTCGTACCTTGCGGTACTCCACAGGTAACATGTAGGGGCCCACTAAAGGTAGATCCTAAACGGATACAGTGAGATCTTTTCTCCAAGTAGTTATACAAGAGAAGGATAGCATTTTGATTATTACCTAACCCTATCAACTTCTCAATCAGCACACTGAGATTGATGCGATTAAACGCCTTAGCATAATCAATAGTGCAAACTGAGGCAACATAACCAGGATTGTCAATAACTTTCAAGATCGAATCGATTATACTTATCAAGTAATGAGAGTTTGATGATCCTTTCATATTACCAAACTCTTGATTATCAATTTTACTCATAATATCCTGATATAACCATTTGGTAAAATGGGTAGGTAGGGATGAATGATATGGTCTTAGCTGGTCAACAGTATTACATGGTGTACTTTTAGGGTTTGGAACAATGTCTGAAACCTTCCAACAATCCGGGAAGACCCCTGTTTCTAGGCATCTATTAAAGATCATAGTCAAATGACCTGCTATTTATCAGCACCGTCTACATATTCTTTATCTCTCACACGCCTTTTACATTATCAACTTCTGGCTGCATCTGCACTGTTTACACGACTCTTTGACGTTTCTTCTGAAACTGTTGTTGACCAAATAGTAGACAAAGAAGTTCACGATGTGGTTCAGGAGTCTGAGGGCGTTGAAGATCTGGATAACCGCCAAATATCCCGAAAATTGACTAGCTCTTAACACACCCGACCGTCGAATGAATGGAATTACAGCCCTGGGAGTCCACGTGACGAAAAAGAATACCGTTATGATAAGGAGCATACGGGTCGTTTTCCTTCCGTAGTCGCATTCCTTTTTGCGTTTTAATTGTTTTTGTGATGACGCCCGGGATTGACATGTGTGTGACGGTAGGGGGTTTAGATGTTCCCGTGACGTTTTAGTCACTGCACATGTGACATGCGAGCCGGAGGACCTAGGCCTACGTCTAGGCGACGATGGGAAGATAATGTTACTAGAACATCCCGCTGTCTCTGTATGCAACGAAACGTCATTTGTTTGCAATTTCTTCGCGATACTCGTAACATCGAAGGCAGAAGTGATGTCATCCGTTTTCATAAGGTTTTCCCTCGATCTGGAAATAAAGTCACGAGTGTTACTTGAACTAATAGTAGCGACAACGGGATGCTTCCCCGTCATGTCGGCGTTAATCTTTGCTCTCTTGCGAAGGGAAACGTAGATCAAAGCGTAAAGGACAGTATTCGTCATCAGCGACACCGAGAATAACACCAAAGACGACATTGTTGTACCCAAGATGTAAGAGCTATAAACGAAGCACATGCTTCTTCCAAAACGTCTGAAGTGACGAGATTCAGTAAACACTGCAGCTGGAATGTTACTCACGGTGGAAACGACCGTACACAGTATTGCAATGAAAATGGACATACGTACCGTTATTCGTCGTCGTAATGGACGACACACAGCCATGTAGCGATCGATGCTGATTGCAGTGGTCAGATAAAGTGAGGCGAATGCCGTTGCATTATTGACGAGAGCTGCCGCTTGACACAAACTTGTGGTCGTCAGCCCTGGGAATGCACTGCGGATGATGAAGACAGGACAGAATACACAAGCGACGAAGTCGACTATCGCTTGAGCAATGATAAGGATATCGGTGCTCGTCTTCCGTTTTTTCCACGCGTAGGCTTTGATGATGACAGCGTTCCCCGGTAGTCCTAAGACCAACACCATCGTATAATAGGTTAGATTAACAACAGTAACAATATCTTGGTCCGTCATCTCATAGTTTTTTTCAGATGTAATCAAATCATTAGCTGAGTCGTTCATAGTTGTGAACAAAGTGTTCAGTTCCGAAGTCGAATTCATGTAGTATGCCATGTTTTTATTCTCTCTTAAGTTATTCTTTCTTGAACTATGTCTGAATTTAAATAATTTTCTACAAAGGGCCTACCTTTGGCAAATAAATGTTGCCGTTATAGCAAAGTTATTGAAATGTTGATCCGGAAAAATTCTTGTCTATCGCCGTCAGCAGATCAACCGATAATCTCACCGAACAAATAGGGTCGTGTTGCCTGAGTAATTATCTGGGCACAAATGATCTTGTCCATGGATATTTTGCTACGTGCGTCAAGAGTTGGGAGAACTTGCCATGGCAGCAGTGATGAAGTGAAAAAAGCAAACATTATTACGGAGAAAGTGAGTGAAATGAGGAAAAAGAGATAAGGATTTAGAGAGAAAGGGAGAGAGCGTGCCAAAGAGTTCGAAGATATTTGATGGATACCATTATGTGATCAACATCAATTTTGTGTGTCCGTAAAACCATTTAAGTTCTCGCTCTATTTGCAATTATGTAATTTATCAGACGGCATGCATGTCTGTTTTTAAAGGTTCTACATGTTAGACCTTGACAATAAAATTCAACTGTGCTCCCAGTTGTGTTTTAGGCTCTCCGAATGTTACTTAATATCTCGTCTTCTATCTTAGTTTTGGACAAAATTTTCAAGCAATTGCATATTGATATAGGAGGGCAGTTGTTGGACACGGAACAGTTATCATATTTCAGCGCAGAACGTAAGAATGTTCAGAATTTGATTTTAATTTGTTGGTTTGAAGTCTTCCATATTGAACATGCTACATGCTTATACTCTCTTTCAAAATCCACTCTCCAGATCATTCTTTACATGTTTTTTAAGTTAAACTTCATTCTTGATTGTTCTGAACAATAAGTTGATGTCAGTTGATATATATGTTTATTGTTCTGTGAAGTCCCATGTACTTTATAATTATGTGTAAATGTGGTTGTCCTTGTTATTTTCTTGTATTTATGTATCTAAAGTGCCAATTTATAGAGTTTTATTATACAAAGTATATATATATATATATCCATATATTGTAAATCATTTTTATGCCTGTCTTTTTATTGTGTGAAATCCAACTCATGGTTGTAATAAATAAAGGAATTATATATTATATCATGATGATCCCAATTCAGGCTGGTACTCATTTCCTGACGGGCATACAGTGCATTTAAAACCGAAAGGTAAGGTTGAAAATACTCGAAATTATTTTATTCCATTGAAACATTTAGCAACGACATTTAATGAGCTTAAGTGAGAGTGAGTGACATTCGTGACAGACACGATTTCATATCATTTTACATTTCTTTTCAAATCGTGGTGTAATTGCACGTTGATCCTTTAAAGAGGCTTTATGAAGAGCTCTTTTCATCACGGTTCCATTCAGCGATGTTATTTTCATACTCTATCAATAACATGAAGGTCATGGCTTACACTGCAGTCACACTGCCGAGACAGAGACGAAGTTACATAGTACTTTATTCACTTGATCTAGCGGTTGAGGGTGCGAATCCCAGCCCGGAACTTTTTTTTAGGGCATTAATCCACATTTGTCAGTCTTCACCCGGATGTTAATGGGTACCTTGCTATTGCTAGGGTAATTCAATGTGTACGGCCATCAGGGAGAACAGCATTGGTGCTGATAAGCTTTCCTAGGTACAAGTAATCATTAATTTAAAAAAAAAATATATATATATATATATATATATATATATATATAGAAATTATTTTAATGATAATATAATTAGTATTACTTTCGTTTTAATTATTATATTTATTATTTTTATAACAAGAGACCAAACAAAAAATACATTTCGCCGAATGGCCAAACATTCGTTGATTTTGAATCGGTGTGACTGAGGTATTATGGATCGTGTGGCAAATTAGCACCAATGTAAAAAGTGAGTAGTGACTGAAAGTGACATCCTGTACAAGGCAGGAGAGTGCTTTGTCTCATCATCGTATAATGTCGTTCGAGCAAAGTAAAAGGGTTATTTAATATGAAGTTCAAAATGGTTAAAAGAGAGCGTAAAGCGGAGGCGTAATACCTTTTTTTCTTGGTTTTCTTGACACGCTATTTATCGAAAACTTCAGGAATTAAGGGGGGGGGAGTGATACAAAAGACGGTGTATGATCTACATGCGGCCATTGTTGGTGACTCTACCATATGTAATTTTACTCTGAAACCATCTAAGTTTCACCGTCCTTTGAAAACAATGGGTTTTTATTAAATAGTCTTTAAAAAATAACGCCTCTGCATTTTATTCAGAAAACATAAATCCTGTCTGATTTTAAATTATATAAAACTTTCAATATAATATAATGCAGCGCAACATCCTCTTCCTTTTCGTATGAATAAATAATTAATTCGTAAACTTCATCAGGAAAGAGGAATATTTATACAGCTATGTTTCTGTGATACTTATGGCGGAGATTGAATGACATAAGGAAATGAGTAAGCTTTCTAGTAAATCCATATTTTCTGTTGAGCTTCGTATTTTCACATGCAGGAAACTGCACGATTCATCATTGAATCAAAATTGATCATTAAACCCTTTCGGTAAGTTATAGCGGCATTCATCATCTTTGGAATTCGATTCATGTTAGATATCACCCATAGTTCACGCGGGGAGTCAGTTTGAAAGGGGATTGGACTTTAACCTGTATTGATATTATACAGAATGCATTTTATATTGTTAGCATGCATCGAGGTTTGGAGCTGTAAATTCGATCTGGTTTCCCGGGGAGGCCCATCTACCTTGGTCCATACAAAACCACTGTTTAAGGTTTGTCGCGCACTAGTAGGTAATAATAATAATGATATAAACGTTACTTATAAAGCGCTTACCACCGAAGTCTCTAAACGCTAGGTCTATATATGTTACCTGCAAAAGCAAGACGCTTTTACAGGCGTGTATCTATCAAATTTGACTAATTGTCTCTGGTGACCAACCTTCAAGTAACGTCACCATCCGAAAAGGGTGACTAAGTGGGGCACGTCCGAGTCTGTTTGTAGCCAAAGACAGCCAACTGTACGGTCTGTACCGCTAAACCAATCCAACTCAACCTGGCATCCTTGCATGGTTTAGATTTCTGAACATTTTCCTATTGAACTGACGTGTTTCGATCAGCTATGTCGTCGTCATTGTCGTCCTCTTCAACAAAAGGACTCTTGGAGCGACTCGCCGACGGTCCTGTGGTTGGCGATGGGAGTATGTTGATTACTCTCGAGAAGAGGGGTTACGTAATGGCTGGCAGCTGGACCCCAGAAGCGACTTTACAATATCCAGACGCAGGTCAGAAATTGTGTGTTTGTTAGTTTGTCTATTTGGTTGGTTGATGGATGGTTGGTTAGGGTTTTTTCCTTTAGTATTCTAAAACCATGTACTTAAATCTTTGTCTAAAATATAGGACCATATATTACGAATAATAAATGATGTAAGTTTAGATAGATGCAAATGTGTTAGATAGTCCATTTTAGCTGTGTTGTCAAAATATTTTTTTGAGTACTGAATGATAGATATTATTTACATAATAAAACCCCATTCATTCTAACAAAGTTATAAAAGCTACTTCTACTACTACTACTACTACTACTACTACTTCTACTACTTCTACCACTACTAATGCTTCTACTCCTACTACTACTACTACTACTACTACTACTACTACTACTTCTTCTTCTTCTTCTACTAATACTACTTCTAATAGCACTAAAAGTATACTGGTTTTTGAGAAATTGCTGTGAACATACGCAATTCAGCATAAGGCTGCACAGTATTATCAACATAAATCCATTAATGAATTGGATTGACTTAAAAATAAGTAGTTCTACTACTGTATGGCCTTAGCACAACGTAAAATTTGCTCAAAAACACCGATCTGCCGGTGTCAAATACAAAAATCGACAACTACTTGAAACTAGATACATGTAGGACTAATAGCAAACGATTTGTGCTACGTACAGGGTTATGTTCCTAATTGCTTATGCATGATAATCCATTCATTCTATTCTTCCATTCAGATGTAATTTCTTTGGGGATCATTCTTTAGTGTATGTCAATCTGAAGTCTAAATTAGGTCCAATAATATTTCTAGCAATGGTAAATGACGTTAACCCATCTTTTCAGAACTCAACTACATTCAAGTATGTGGATGATCTGTCAATTGTTGAATGTAGGAACTTTGACCAACCATCTGAATTACAAAAGTCTATGGACTATCTTCTAACCTGGTGTGATCATAATCACATGAAGATGAACCCCCCAAAATGTGCTCAAATGAATGTTTGTTTCCTACGGGTTCCCCAAATCGATCCTGCAGTTTCTACCGGAAATCATGAACTGGCTACTGTGAAAGCCACCAAAATATTAGGAGTCATTATTCAGAATGACTTAAAATGGGATCAAAACATAAATAATATCATCAAGAGAGCAAACAGTAAAATTCATATGCTTACATGTGCTACATAAGGCCTGTCATTGAATATGCAGCCCCTGTATGGAATGGAGGTCTCACCAAAAACCAAATCACCAGGTTAGAAAGAGTCCAAAAGCGAGTTTTGAGAGTGATTATCGGTGCACGTTACTCAACTTATGACACTGTCCTAGATGAATTGAAAATCGAATCTCTCTCTGATAGAAGACAGAGTTTGTGCTTGTCGTTCTTCCAAAAGACCCTACTCTACACTGATCAATTCAAACAGTATTTCCCTCTGGAAAATAATACTAGAACACTAAGACGTAAACCCCAAATTCCTGAACTCAGATGTAAAACTAAACGAATGCAAAATAGTCCAATTCCGTACCTCATCCGTGCACTTAACCAAAGTAAACGATGAATGATGCTCCTTTTCTTGTACCATTCAGGCTCGGCAATTTCATCACTTTTTTGTTTTGTTTTGCTTTGTTGTTCTTTGACACCCTTCCATTTCAACCTAGTTTTACCATATTGTATGAACTTAATTGAATTTAACTGAATCTGTCATGTGACAATAGCTTATCTCTTGTCTACTTTAGGCATGGTTGTATATTTCCACTTTGTGTTGTAATTTAAATCTTTTATCTCTTTTATCTTTATCTTCTCTTTCTTCTACTTCTTTTTCCTCTTTTTTCCCCTCCTTCCATTTCTTCTTCTTTTTCTTCCTCTTCTTCTTCCTTTCCCTTCTTTTCCCTTCTTTTCCGTATCCTCTTATATGAATTTTCCATTGTCGCTTTCGACTACTACTTCCTATACCTTTTCCCCTCTCAGCCTTTTAACACTCTTCCTCTGTAAATTTATCCCACTCTTAATTTCAATAAGTTACATTGTATTTGCAAACGTTACTCCTCACCTGTCAGTTTTACTCTCGATTTTTTCCACCACATACACTTGCTCCGTTTACCGCTTATTGCTTACTTTAGTCCTTCTTTCACATGATTTCAGTGCTATTTAAAGCTATTTAATTCAGATTTCTTTCTAATGTATGGTTCCATATGTTGCAATAAGCTATATTTCTCGTATTTATACTGATTTATTTTACAAATTCAATATATCATGTTATGCTATATTATATATTACATTATGTGTTATTAATTTGGTTTGTAAACTTTTGTAATTCGGCTAAACGCCGCGATGAAAGTTTTATTTGAAATAAACCATTTTGAATTGAATTGAATTGAATGAAGAAGGGGTGTATTTCGAAAAAGCCAGCTATTAGTAGGTTTAGATCTCTTCGTAAATTGACTAAGCTAAGTTTGTGAGTGACGGGGAAAAACTTCCATGGTCTAATTTTCACTGAAGCAATGGTGTTGAATTGTATGGGCATATTTCAAATCGAGTTTAATATCGTGATTCACCGAATCGAACGGACGTTTCAGGTCCAAAAAAAAAATTGCTCCGGATGTAAGACCCCTATCTATCCCCTTTAATAGTAAGAAATCGTTTACATCAACTAGCGCCGTTCCTGTTGAGTGAAGCGGTCGGAAGCCCGATTACCTATCACTAAGAAGACCATTATCATTGTGATAATCATACAATTGGGAGTGTATACTGCCTTTTCTAAAATCTTAACAATATGTGAAAGAACCGAAATCGGGCGATAGTGTTGGATGGTCTTTTCTTGTCTCCGCCCTTAAAAATAGGCGTTACCCTTGCGCTCTTCCATTCAACAGGAACAAAACCAGTGGAGAGTGAACAATTTAACAAATGTGTAAGTGGTTTTGTAATGAATGGTGAAGCAAGCTTGAAAAGACGTGGATGTAGATTGTCAATACCACTAGATTTGAAAATAGATAATTTGGAAAGCTCTTTGAGAACAAAATCCTCTGCTATAGAAACACACGAGAAGATTCTATCAATAAATCCATGTAATTCATTAAAGGTATGTTCAGTATCATGTCGACTAGCAGTTTGAGTGAAATGTTCATTGATGCAATACACTCAGAATCATCAATTACATATCCATCCTTTATCAGCTCGATTCTATCTCCCGATTTCTTCTTTAACGACACTTTCTTTAATGTTTTCCAAGTTTTGCGGGAATCACCAAGGTGCTCATTAAACTCAGAAAAATAGTAATAATTCTCTTTTAAGTTTTTGTTAAGATTATTTACAGCATTTCTCTTCTTTTTGTATTTATTCCACTCATCATCATTTCGGGATTTATCAAATTTCGCCTTTAAAAAAATCACGCTCATGAGCTAATTTCAAATAATCACCCGTTATCCACGGTGATCCATTGATTTGTCTGCGTACACTAACAATGGGAGCATGTTTATTACACAATTGATTTTACTCTACAAATTAGAAAAGAATTGGCCTAGTTTAAAAGTTACTTAAGTGATCCGAGTCGAATACAATGCGTCGTGGTTAAAGGTGCTCAATCTGGATTTAGTGGTGTAATACTGGAATCCCACAAGGATCAATATTGGCCCCCTTCTTTTCACTCTTTTTATTAATGACCTCTGTAATTTGCCCTATTGTGAAAATACTACAATATGTTTATACGCCGATGATGCGGCAATATTTTGCCAAAGCAAAGACATTACCCTTGTTAAGAAAACACTTAAATGTGAGTTTCAAAAAATAGTTCACCACATTGGAAAAGATTGTTGAATATTAAGAAGTGTAAGACCATGTTATTTGGGACAAGAAAACGAATCAAAAGTCAAACTGTACGCCTGATTTACACAGATAATGTTATAGAAGTTGTAAATGAATTCAAATATCTTGGTGTAATATTTGATAATTGTTTAAATTGGGTTATACATATATCGAAAACTGTCTCCAAAATATCTAGAACCATATCATGTATAAAACTAATTAAATATTATTTGCCGAAAAGAATTTAAAAATTGTTATATGAATGAATAGTTTGATACGATCACATATTGACTACGGTATTTTTATAGCGCCGTCTATCTAGAAATTCTATTCCGAGGCGCATTTATTATTACACCGGCTTTAGCCTAGCTGCCATTACAGCGCTCCAGCATTTCAAGCAATTAATTCCTGCCAGGTACCCATTTATATCACCTGGGTTGAGTGTGTTAAATGTAGATCAATGTCTTGCCAAAGGATATTAGTGCCGCGGCGGGACTCGAACCGCGGACATTGAGATCGACAGTCCGGCGACGTATCCACTCGACCACGACACCTCTACGTTGGCTAGGCCCCTCCATAAAATCAATTATAATGTGTTATCCTGTTAGTAGCGATATATTTAAACTTGCTTTTAAATCGCCAATGTCTATATGATTCGCTGACGACTTTTTAAAAATATTGATGTGGGGTTTTTTTTATTTCTCGCTGTTGGTTGCCTTGTATACATTTTAGTCATGTGTACACTTTTGTAATTATTGTGAAAAAAACATATGAAATTACGGAGACTCGAAGGTCGTAGGGTCGATCCCCGACACGGCACTTATTTCGTTAAGCAAGGCGTTAAGTGATGAACTTTATTTCTCCCCACTCGTTGTAAAATGGGCTACCCGATATGACGCAAAACTGTATGCAGTTTGCTCAACATTGTGAGCCTCTGTAAAAGGGCATGCCTGATTCGAATTCTCCACAGAGAGTGGAGAATGTGCATACATTGTGTGCGAGCAAGCCTGAATCCTATATGACCATGATGACCAGGGTACTAGTATATCTGCAAAGAGACTTCAAAGATGCATTAACGCTTAAAATTAATAATCAAACCCCGAATGATATTATTAGTATTATTATTACTCTGTCCTGGTAAATGACAGAAACGCGTTTGATAATTATTTCTTCACTACAACCAAAACTTGAGGTTGGATTTCAAATGAAAATACAAATACAAACAGATAGATAACCAGCTTCGTTAATATTATTATCATTCATTTCATGGTTGCTGGATGTCTTACACACGTATATCAACTTTAACTTTCAGTCAAACAACTTCATCGAGAGTTCCTCCGAGCAGGCGCAGATGTAATTCAGACGTTCACTTACTGCGCTACGGAAGATAATCTGAAAATGAAAAATGAGCACGAAAAGAACTCCAATGACATGAAAAGTGTGAGTGTCCTACTTCAACACATCTCATCCTCCTCCTTCTGCTCCTCCTCTTCCTCCTCTCTTCTTTTTCTTCTTCTTTTCCTTTTCCTTCTCCTGTTTGTCCTTCTTCTCCTCCTCCTCATATTAATACCTGATTTATCATCTTTTCTCCTTTTCTCTATTTTGTTCGTGTAGGTTTTAGCCCTCATTACATATTACAGTTATCTCTCTCTCTCAATCTCTCTCCCCTATCCCTTCTCACTGTTTTTTCTCCTGATAAATTTATCATACATTAGCCTATACCATTATCTTGAAAGATCTGACAATTGCTTTACAAATTAAGTTCATTTAGGATTTTGTGTTTTTAATTAAAGAATAAATATAATAAATTCCTAATGTTAGATTGTCAAAGAAAGATAACAATTTTGTGATTGATTTTTCATTATTTATATTCTGCACATTAGGTCTCTGAGATCAATCATAGAGCATGTGATCTCGCCCGGGAGGTAGCAAACGAGGGCGGGGCTCTGGTAGCGGGAAGCGTTTCAAACGTCAACGCCTATCGGAAAGATGGCGCCTGCCATGGCGCCGGGAAGGAGTTTGTCCAAAATGAGTTCAAGAAACAGTGCGACATCTTCGTCAAGAAGGGAGTTGACTTCTTACTAGGAGAGGTTTGTGTGTACCATGACGTAGCTTAGGTCTAGCCCTCGGGGTGGGAAGGGGGCGGCACATGGTGGTGTCGGGGGGGGGCACGGGAAATGCGAGAGGACATTGATTAGGCGAAAAAGGTTATTGGGACGGCTGAAACGGTTGTGTTTACCATATTATCATTCTCGTTGCCTTTGCTTGTACTATTTTATCTCTTCCTCCTTTCTTGTTCCCCATTCATAATAGCACGGCCACATACCCAAAGGCGCCGGAAGTTGGGGAGGGGGGGGGGCAAAACGTATTTCGCATCTCCTCCTCCCCCCCCCCCTCCGAAAAAAAATAAGCAGTAAAGGAGTAAAAATTGTTTGTATTTACCACAACAACAAAAAAAACTGAATTGAATCACATACAAATTATATACCATTCAAAGAGGAAAGTAAACAGGAATTCAATTTCCTAAAAACATTCTACATGCCCCTATATTTATCAATTGAGAATTTTGTAATAGCGATACGGGCATATCGTGGAAATATTGTGAAAGGATGGGAAAGCGTGTGTGTGTTTATTTTTATTATAGGGGTGAGAAGAATGAGCAATAGCGTACTGATTGGGGGGGGGGGCTTGGGAGGCAGTTGCCCTCCAAAATAAAATTCTAACGTGGTTTAATTAAAGTTCGATACCAGTGATTTACAAATGTTGCTGAAATAACATAATTTTCCGGGATTCTTCTCAACTTTTTAAGATTATACCTTTTTATGCTTTTGTTGGAAAATTACAAATTCCCAAATTTACAGTCAGGCAAAAAAATATTCTTATGTATAAGAGTTCATGTCAGGCCCTGCAGAATGGTGAGCCTCGGGGGTCGAGCCCCATCCCCCTCACTTTTTGAAAAAGTATGTAAAAGGGGAAAATAAAAAACAAAGAAAGAAAAAGAGAGTGAGTGACCTGCAAGTGTCACAAATTAAGGTATCAAAATATTATGCTCATCTGACCGTAATTAAATACCCAAAACCTCTGAGCTTCCCGGGGATCTGCCCCCTGGACCCCACCAAGGGCCCCTAAAGGCGGCCCCTGGATGCTCATCAGACCGTATTTAAATGCCTAATGCCCCTGACCCCCGCCAATCATTGCTGTGCCAGTGTCACAAATAAGGTATCTAAATATGCTTATCTGACCGTAATTTAATTCCTAAAAAACCCTGAGCTTCCGGGGGCCCCATGCCAAATTACGTTCCACTCGCTTCATCGCTACGCTCTACCTGATTGTTAATACTCCACTTTGAAATACGTTCCCCGGGGCCTACATGTAACATGTATTATAGTGGTGGTGATGTAGATTTTTTCTTCTACCCCTCAAATGCTTTTGCTCATTACGCCACTGCCCCTGGAAGGTGAGCCCCCTGGGATGTTCCCCCCCCCCCCTCTAATCCCTAACTGCTTCCTGTGCGCCTGCACATACCCCCGAACGGCTGTGACTACCTCTGAATAAGTTTGGTGAGAGTTGCTCTTTGGGACTGTGAAGAAAATGGAGAGAGAAACTGGGGTAGGATTGAGGGGAAAGAGAGGATTGGAGAGAAAGAGATAAATAGAGAGAGAGAGCGAGGAAGAGGACAGGGAGAGGAGAGGAAGCTTGAGAGAAGAGAGAGGGGGAGAGAGAGAGAGAGAGAGAGAGAGAGAGAGAGAGAGGGTGAAGGGAGAGAGGGGAGAGAGAGAGAGAGGGGGAAGGGAGAAGAGGGGGAGAGAAGGAGATAGTCAGAGAACTAGGTAGACATGTTTAATGAAATAAGTAAATCTAACTACTGACCCCCTCCCCACTTTCTCTCTCTCTCTCTCTCTCTCTCGCTCTCTCTCTCTTTTTCTCTCTCTCTCTCTATTTCTCCCACAATAATATTTCAATTATCCGTATAACGCAACGTACGAGATTCAATGTAACTTTGAATATTCTGATGACACATAGTTACATGCACGAATGAATGAATGAATGAATTAATTAATTGATTAATTAATTATTGAATCCATCTCCTCTATCGTCATTGTTCAGTTCTTTGCGTTCGTGGAGGAGGCTGAGTGGGCGGTCGAGGTGATGGCCGAGACCGGTCTACCAGTCGCCTGTACCATGAGAATATCCGTTATAGGGGACCAGGTGGGCGTGGCACCCGGAGATGTGGCAGTGAGGATGGCTAAAGCTGGTAGGTAGGCGTGACCAGGGGGTGTGATCTTTAATATCGAAACATTTGTCAGTATCAACTTGTTGGAACAATCAAAGAAGAAAAAGAGAATTCAGAAGAATTTTTTTTTAATGTTTTTGTCTAGATTTCACGAAAGATGTGGTAACTGAGATAACGTTAGTACGCATGCTTATTAAAAAGATACAAAACTTACAAAAGCTTTTTAAGGATATTGTTATAAATAATAATTGTTTTGTGTTTGCATGAGAAAGAATGGTCGAAATAGTGGCGTTAATTAGGGTGACGATGATACTGATCATGATAATCATCGCGATAATCATGTCAATGGCTAGTGAAACATAAACTTAAATCCTTAAAGCCCAAGTGTTCAGTGACATAGAAACCACTTTTGGCCAAAATGGCCAAAATGTAGTTACGTCTTTGTGTCACTGAACCCTCGATGTGAACCATTTTGCTTGTTATTCTACAGGGGCTGATGTGATCGGTGTGAACTGTTGCTACGACCCGGACACCGCCCTCAAGACGCTGGCGATGATGAAGGAAGGATTGGAGAAGGCTGGTCTTCAAAGATACCTGATGGCACAACCCTTGGGTTACCACGCACAAGAGATAACGGATGATCCAAGGGGTTATTCCGTGCTGCCCGAGTTCCCATTCGGTAGGTGGTGGCGGTGGTGGTGCAATGTGGTATAGTTGGTGGGTTGTGGTGATGATGGTGATGGTAGGTGATGCTGGGGGGGGGGGGACACTCAAATATAGGCCTAATCTTTGTTTTATTATTTTTTAACTCAACACACCCCCCCCCCCCTCCCCCCTTGCACAATAAAATTGTGGTTACCCTTTTTGGGGGTTACTTTTTGTTTGCCAGGGGTGGGGTCCGCCCCCCCCCGGGCTCCCCTTCCCCTGGATCCGCCACTATGTGGTAGTGGCGTGATGTGGTGGTAGTGGTAGTAGTGGTGTGATGTGGTGGCAGTGGTGTGATGTGGTGGTAATGGTAGTGGTGGTAGTGATGGTGGTGGTAGTGATGTGATGTGGTGGTAGTGGTAGTAGTGGTGTGATGTGGTGGCAGTGGTGTGATGTGGTGGTAATGGTAGTGGTGGTAGTGATGGTGGTGGTAGTGATGTGATGTGGTGGTAGTGGTGTGATGTGGTGGCAGTGGTGTGATGTGGTGGTAACGGAAGTGGTGGTAGTGATGGTGGTGGTAGTGAGGTGATGTGGTGGTAGTGGTAGTAGTGGTGTGATGTGGTGGTAATGGTAGTGGTGGTAGTGATGTGATGTGGTGATGGTGGTGGTAGTGATGTGATGTGGTGGTAGTGGTTGCAGTGGTAGTGGTGGTAGTGCTGTGATGTGTTGGTAATGGTAGTGTTGGTAGTGATGGTGGTGGTAGTGATGTGATGTGGAGGTAGTGGTGGCAGTGGTAGTGGTGGTAGTGGTGTGATGTGGTGGTAATGGTAGTGGTGGTAGTGATTGTGGTGGTAGTGATGTGATTTGTTTGAGGGGTGGTAGTGGTAGTGGTGGTAATATTTTTTGTTTACGTGGGGATAGCAAAAGTTATCATCATAGTTAATATCATCATTATAACCATCGTCATCACGATCACCATCACCGTCATCCCTATCATCATCGTTATATTCACCGTCGTCGTCATCATCATCATCATCTACATTTAGATATTTTAATTTTGTAGTGCCTCCGCCACTGAAAATGGTGCTGGAGGCAGGGGCGTCGCCAAAGGGGGGGTTTGGGGGGTGCGACACCCCCCCCCCCCCCCACCTGTCAGGATATTGTCGGTAAAATTGCGCTGCCGTCGGGAAAAAGAGAAAAGGGGGAGGGAAAAAAAGAGAGGGAAAAAAGGAGAGGGAAAAAAAGAGAGGGAAAAAAGAGAGGGAAAGGGAAAGAAAAGAAAAAAAGAAAAGGAAAAAAAAGGAAAGAAAGGAAAAGAAAGAAAGGAAAAGAAAGGAAAGAAAAGAGAAGAAAGAAAGAGAAAAAAAGGGAGGAGAGGAAAGAAAGGAAAAGAAAGAACAGAAAGAAAAGGAAAAAAAGAAGAAAAAAGAGTGAAGGGAAACAAAAGAAATGGGGATGAGAGAGAGGAGAGAGAGGGGAGGTAAGAGTCTGAGAGAGGAGGAGTGGGAGTAAAAGAGAGAAGGGGGTTGTTGGGTGGAGTCGTCTCGTCGAGGGAGCAAGAAAGACACGGGTAAATATGTTGCTGTGTCGGGTCTGCTGTGTCGGTATTCTTGCTCGATCCTCATGTACTATATTAATGCATAAGTTTGAAGTCGGTGAGATGTATATTGTCGGTCGGCCGACAAGTTTTTTTCCCTACGAACTGTGACTTTTTATCCGCTGTGACGACTTCGAGAGTGACTACAACTACAATACTTGTATTTTCTCGAAGTTTCACTTTCCTATAATATCAGCTAAAGAAATCAGAGGTTTAAAATTTCGGGGAAACTAAATTCAAACAAGGTTTAAGAGTCAACAACGGTACGACTAATCGTTTTCCTTTCTTTATATTGTGATGAAACGCCAAATATTCCGCGCTTCGCGCGGAAGGGGAAAACTTCATTTAAACGAGTCGAGAACAGTACGACGAATCGTCTTCTTTCTCTAATAATTTAAGGAAACGTCAAAGCTTCCGCGCTTCGCGCAAGAGGGGGAAACTGAATTCAGACAAAATCAATAGGGCTTATTTAGAGTCGAAAACGGTACAACGAATCGTGTTCTTTCTCTAATGATATGAGGAAACGTCAAAGCTTTCGCGCTTCGCGTGAGAGGGGGAACCTGAATTCAGATGAATAGGGGTTATTAAGAGTCGAAAACGGTACGACGAATCGTCTTCTTTCTCTAATAATTTAATGAAACGTCAAAACTTCCGCGCTTCGCGCGGGAGGGGGGAAGCTTCATTCAGATTAGGATTAAGAGTCGAGAAAAGTACACCGAATCGCCTGCTTTTTCTCATAATTTAATGAAAAGTCAAAGCTTCCGTGCTTTGCGCGGGAGGGGGGGATACTGAATTTAGAAAAGGATAAACAGTCGAGAATGGTACAGCAAATCGTCTTCTTTTTTATAATAATTTAATGAAACGTCAAAGCTTTCGCGCTACGCGCGGGAGGGGGGAAAACTTAATTCAGCCTAGGATTACCAGTCGAAAACGGTACAATTAATCGTCTTCTTTTCCTAATAATTTAAGGAAACGTCTAAGCTTCCGCGCTTCGCGCGGGAGGCCCATCACCCACACACCCCTAATGAGCGCGCTTTTAAGTGATTCTCTTGCTCACTACCGCCCCTCCGTAAAATAAGATCCTAGCTCCGCGCCTGCATTAAAATATATAGCTATGATGCTGAAATAATTCGTATATTTATGTCGTCGAGGAAAATGACCATAATTATGCAAGTACTATAGATAGTCCATAGGAAAAACAATTTAGCCTTCGGCCCCAGGTTCACAGGGTTGACTTTGTAGATAGTGGACATTTAATTTTGTCGGTAATTGGTGGCTACTTTTGTCGGTAATCGTTGGCCTCTACACCCCCCCCCCCCCCCCCCACTGAAAAAGGTCTAGCGACGCCCCTGGCTGGAGGCATCATGTTTTCGGACTGTCCGTTTTTTGACAGACTCATGAGCCTCAATCGTAAGGATCGATTGAAGAAGAACGAGTCGTCTTCACCTATACACTGTAAAAAAATAATAGTCGAAATAACTCAATAAAATTGAGGAAAAGAATTGCCTTATTTTATTAAGTAAATATTACCTAAGGCATCTTAAGTAGAATTTACTTATTTTGCTGAATAAATTTTTACTCAGTTAAATCGAGTTACATTAACGTAAATAATTTAAGTATTGTAATCATTTTAGATAATTAAAAAAAAGCTATGATAGGATTACATATTGCACGATTTGGTACCCATCTAATCTAACAAGTAACATCCACTAATCACTAACACTACTTCTATTTAAGATTTAACCGTAAATATATATCTACCACCATCACAAACTATTACATACGCTTCAATTATTATTGCATATTGAAAGGCTCCAAATTTTATATACACTTGATCGTAGCATCTTAAAAGGAAAATTGGTTGACAATTTCCTGAAATATCAAGTTTTGATTTGTTTTGAACTGGGTAACAATTAAAAATTGTCTTGTCTTTGCTTAGCCATGTTAAATGAATTAGTAAATGTTTTAAAGTCCTTACATTTTCATTCAACCACACAAAAGAATTGTTTTATTTAAAAAAAAGAGTTTAATTTGGTCTTAATGAATATTCATAAATTATGTAAATATTTCTATTACGCACTGCATCGGTCCTTACTTTAAAAAGATAAGACTAATCAACATAAATTGTTTGAGTAATACGTATAATTTCTGATTTTGAGTTAAAATTACTAAATTAATACAAGCTGAAATTACTTAAAGTTCTTATGTATTTGATTTTACTTAAATATTCCACGTATGTTCTACTAAATTGAAAGTTTGAGTTAGCAAGACTTAAATTTTGTGCGTAAGTGGCAAAACTAATGTTTTCAAGTAAATTCTACATGGAAAAAATACGTAAAAATTACCAATGAACAAATTCTTTTTTACAGTGTAGCTGAAAGCCGTTTAAAGGCACACTGTCCTACTTGTAGCTATACTTGCTCCCTCTATATAGAAAACTTCCACAATCGGTGCCTGTTGGTCCCCCATGATCCTTTTGTTCGTATGTTAAATGAGAGCTGAGTTAATGAGATAGCCACCTGTCACAGTGACCTCACTGTCTCGCTGGGTGGTCTAATCCCTTCTAGCTGAAGTAGCAAAGCCTGCATTTAAGCAATAAAGGGACTGACGCTGGTGTAAAGCTTGATATCATATTCTTAGTTTTTTTAGCAGTGAGTAGGTAAGATGAAAAACATTGAGATAATAAGTGACCATGAACATATATTTTCTCCTACGTAGCAATGGAATCCAGAGCACTTACGCGGACAGACGTCAGAGAGTTTGCTCGCAGGGCGTATGATGAAGTGGGGGTGAGGTACATCGGCGGGTGCTGTGGATTCGAACCCTACCACATCAGAGCTATCGCAGAAGAGGTGAGAATCCATTACAGTCAAACCTGTCTATAGCGACCGCCCAAGGAAAACACAAAAGAGGTCTTTGAAGACAGGTGGTCTTTGTAGACAGGTTCCTTTAGTACATGATTCAATGAGAAACCATTTTCAAGGGAAACAACGAATGTGGCCTTTGAAGACAGGAGGTCACTAAAGCAGGTTTGACTATATGGATCACAGACCACGTCTTTATTACAAGAGATCCAGCACGGGCTAGATAAATTAGACCTCTCCGAAAATATAAGAATGGATGGAGGTGGGAGGACCTGTGGGTAGGGGGCAGGATGATAGAATCCGCCCTGAATACGTAATGCATGTCCGATGTCTAGCTGTAAATACATTGCACGGTTCATTGATTTAATATTAACGGGTATGGACAGGCGCGGATCCAGGGGCGGCCGAGCGGTTACAAATTTCAAATTTTAAATTTTAAATTTCAAATTGATTTCAAATTTGGGCCTCCCCCCCCCCCTAAGAAATCCTTGATCCGCGCCTGGGTATGGAAACGTGGTTTTAAAAAGGCCGTTTGTACTGTGCCCTCTTAAATCTGCCGCTGATTATCATTCGATATGTAAGGTAATCTTTAAATTGCAAGGGATTTTGTTTTTATTACAACAAATCCGAGTGGAAATATTTAAAAAAGAACATATAAACCCTGGGGGTGTTTCACAAAGATCCTAAGTTGAACTTAACGATTATGGAAAGCTGTTGGCATCTATGAACATGTTTTGTAAAAGTTATTTTAAAAGGCATAAAATATTGTTTCGAATCATTCATGATTTCTATTATCAAGGAGATTTCAGGGACTTGGTGTGGAATTTATAAAAAGTCACAAATATTTGATTTTCACTGTTGAATATATAAGGCTAAAAATGGCTCTCCATAATTTATAAGTCCAACTTAGAGTTAAGTTCGACTTCAGATCTTTGTGAAACACCCCCTGGCCTTCTCAAAACTAATATCAATCTCTTGATAGCTTTCTCTCTTTTGACCAACGAAATGTTTAGCTGACGGAAGAGAGAGGCCGTTCATTTCCTGGACGAGATAAATCTGATGGATATAGCAGTCTTAAGCGTGCGTTTCGAGTAAGACAGCATAAGAGGTAGGTACAGTGACGGAGATCTGTGGTTAGCCTAAGGGGGATGATTACGTGAAGAGGCGGCCCTCCGGGGGGGGGGGGCAAGGGGGCACAGTGCCGCCATGTTTTTAAGTGGGGAGCCTACCCCAAAAGTGTTCCTTTTTACGTAGGAAAAGTAGCCCTTTTACTCTGTTATGAGTGCCCCTCCCCATTTTCACCTCTGATAAGTGCCCCCTTTTATTTTGACACGAGCCCTTTTTTCTTCGACAATTACCTATTTTCCTTTGCAATAAGTGTCAATTTTCCATCCTCATAAGTATACTTTTTAATCTCTAATTAGTGCCCCTTTTCAACTACGAGAAGTGCCCCTTTTCAACTACGAGAAGTGTCCCTTTTCATTTTTGATAAGTGCCCTATCTAATAATTAACTTATTCAAATCTGAGAGGTGCCCTTTTTACATTGTAAGAAGTGCCCCTTCCCATTTTAAGAGAGATACCCCTTTTTAGCTCAGATAAGCCCAACCTTTATTTACACATTTTACCCTTTCCTTTCTAATAAGGGCCCCTTATGATAATTAAATGCCCATTTTCACATACGAAAAGTGTCCCTTTTCATTCTCATAAGTGCCCCTTTTTATATCTGGCAAATTACCCTTTTCAGGTACAAGAGGTTAATCCTTTTCACTTCAGATAAGTGCGCTCTTTACCTCCGATAATTGCCCCTATTCAAATCTGATAACTGCCCCCTTTATTTTGATACGTGCTCCTTTTCCTTTCTAGAAAGTGCTCTTTTTCGTTCTTATAAGTGCCCCTTCACCTTCTCATAATAACTCCTTTTCATTTCTGATAAGTGCCCCGCTTAATTAATCATGTGCCTCTTTTTCTTTTTGATAAGAGTCACTTCCCCCTTTCTCATAAAGCCCCTTTCACCTCTGATAAATACCCCTATTAAAGTCTGATCAGTACCCCTTTTATTTCAACAAATGCACATTTTCCTTTATTATAAGTGCCCCTTTTTAATTCTCTAAAGTGTCCCTGCGACCTCACAAATCTGTTTTTTTTCACTCGCTTCGCTCGCTCGCAAATGAATATTCAGACCATCACACCCAGCTGCAAAGTATAATGTATAAAGAGAAACTGAAAATATAATCATAATGTACGGGTTTAAACCAACGTCTAAAAAAATATATATTTTCGCTTTTTCGATTTCCCTTTGGAGGTGCCCTAATTTTTCCCCAGAAAGTGCCCTTTTTTGACCCCCCCCCTCCACTTTGGAAGTTGCTCCGCCGCCCCTGATGACGTGTTGGCGTCGCCAGTGTCAATTGTGCACACAGGGGGTAGGGGATCTGATGGGGGATGTGCCCCCTCTGAAGCTGAATATTTTCAGATTTTTAAAACTGGATTCGTGTGATTTGGTTGATCATGACATTTAGGCAAAATTTAAATGAAAACCTTTACGGTGAGCATTTTATCATAAACATTGGTTGTCCCCTGGTCAAATATTCTCTTAAAGTACCTTCATAGCAATTTTAGGTTCGAAAAGGGCACTATAAATGTCAAAGATAAGAATAAGAGCAATAACAGTGCACTTTGAAGGCATTTGAGGTCTGAAAACAGAACTCAACTATCCCTTTAACATTGATATATGGTCAATCTTTTTTTACATAGGTTGATTTGTTCATCTCATCGCACAGAATGATTCATATGTAAATTCTAACGTAGTGCTCATGTTGTCTCTCATATGTTTCCTTAAGACAAATTTGTTGTTTGATTTCGTATTGTCTTGTATTTTTTTTAATCCCTCTGCAGGGCGAATCCAGAATATTGGAAAAACTTGGTTCCAGCAGCTGGTCGCGAAAAGGTCCGAAAACTGGCGGAAATTGTCGATTAGCAAGAAAGGAATGTTTCATTTCAGAAGAAAATTTCTTTCCAAATTGAAATTACTCTCAGGAAGCCTGATTCAAGATACTTTACCAGTGGGCACTTATTCAATAAAGATGCTGGGTTTTTTTTTTCTCTTGCCTAAAAGGGCATCTTATTTTGGGTAACGGGGATGATATAATAGCCCTCTACCCAATACCCGGTTATCCAACAGATTAACGATAAGCAATATTACTAACCGATAGCTATCTTCGTCTCAACATTTGGTACTCCCCCCCCCCCCCCCTCTCCTCTCCCCCACCCTCTGCTCCCTGTCCATCTTTTATAACAAAGTGGATGAGTGCAGTGACTCTGTGACTGTGTAAATAAACCTACTCGAAAAATCGAGTTACTTACATAAAATGCATGCCGAGTCCGTATTTCCTTGTTTTCAAAATGAAAGAAAAAATAAAAATTGTACTGTCTTGACTGACGGTTTTAGACTATCAAAATAAATAATCAATCTATTATGACGTGAACATTTCGCAGCCAGCATTACCTGTTCATTCGCTTTTTTTTCCATTATTATTTCTTGTTTTCAAAAAGAAAGAAAAATAATACTGTTGTATGGTATTGGCGGACGGCTTTAGACTCTCAAAATAAATAATTAGTCTACTATGACGTGAACACTATTTTTACTATGTTATTTTATTTATAGGACTTCCATTCAAGTTTCTTATTTATATACGTTATGCATTCAATATAATTATAAACCTTGTCATTGCACTGTGATATTGTTAGTGCATAATATTTTGTTGGTAATATAAGAAAGATGAGATACACGAAGGAGAAGGCAGCATAAAGAAAGAGAAAGAAAGATAGAGTGACTCTAAGACTAAAGAGAGGAGAGAGAGAGAGAGAGAGAGAGAGAGAAAGAGAGAGAGACTGAGAGAGAGAGAGAGAAAGAGAGAGAGAGAGAGAGAGAGAGAGAGAAAGAGAGAGAAAGAGAGAGAGACTGAGAGAGAGAGAAAGAGAGAGAGAGAGAGAGAGAGAGAAAGAGAAGAAAGATATTTACCTATAATTAGTTTCCCGATCATTTCCCTTCTTTTCTATATGTTCTCATATATAAGTTCTCTCTCTCTCGATTTCTCTCTATAATAGCAGCATAATTGATAATGTGTGCTCCCGATCCCTTCATGCAGCGCTCACTTGAATTTTAAGAAGTTAAGATATTATTTGACTCTATCGACCCCTTCTAGGAGTATGAGAGTACAACATAATTATTTAGAATACAATACAGAAAGATATATTAAAAAAAAAGTAAAATATAATAATAAAATACATAGACATGATATATACCTATTTACATGGGTGTCGATCCCGGGGGGGGGGGGGGGGGGGGAATGGGGGGATATACCCCCCCCCCCCCAATAATTCACCATTAAAAAAATTTAAAAAATGAAGAGAAAAAATAAGGATGAGAGCCCGATGAGAGTAGTTAATGGTTATTACTCGCAAGATAACCATCAATATACACATTTTGCTATCTCATTTTCAAAATACATACGAAGTAAATAAGACAACCGTATATGAGACAAGAATAAATTGAATTCTCGCTCATACGGCTTCATTAGGAATTAATGAATTTATTCAATTTGTTAAATCAACAGCATCATAGAAATGCAGTGCGCGAAATTCAAAGACACAGCGTCAAAAAGCAACGAGCTAAATGTTAAGCGCGAAGCGCAAAAATAGCAATCTGCAATGGACATCAAACAATCCTGGACAGTGTAAACATAGATGAACTCTGTGACGATTTCGTGATGAGATCGGAGACAAGGAGAACGATTTTCGGACATTAGTATGACTTATAAAATAGTTCTCTAATTGTTATGTTGTTTCCGTTCACCCTTTTTAAAATTCACGTCATTGTATCTTTATTTTTGTTTTTTTCACTCATTTTATTTCCTGATATTTCCTAAAAGATTTTTCTTTTTTGGAGAAAGATTATTATGTCACAACTTATTTGTAACACAAATTATTTTCAGTGGGGAAACTGAATTCAGACAAGGATTAATATAGAGAACAGTACAACGAATCGTCTTTTTTCTCTAATAATTCAGTGAAAAGGGCAAAGCTGTTAGGGGGCAACTGAATTCAGACGTGGATTAAGCGTAATAATCAAACGAAACGTCAGAATACACGATACAACGAAGCGTCTTCTTTTACGAATAATTTAATGAAACGTTAAAGCTTCCACGCTAAGCGCGGAATGGGCGAAAATGAATACAGACAAGGATTAAGAGTAATAATTTATTGAAAAGTTCATGAAGGACACGATACAACAAATCGTCTTCTTTCACTAATTTGAAAGCTTCCGCGCTTCGCGCAGGAATGGGCGAAAATGAATTCAGACAAGGATTAAGAGACGAGAATGGTACATAGGATCGTCTTCTTTTTTTAATCATCTAATGAAACATCAGAGCTTCCGCGCTACGCGCGTGGAAGGGGGAATTTGATTCAAACATTAAGGATTAATAGTCGAGAATGGTACATCGAATCGTCTTCTTTCTTTAATAATCTGATGAAACGTCAGAGCTTCCGCGCTACGCCCGGAGGAAGGGGAACTTGATTCAAACAAGGATTAAGAGTCGAGAACGGTCCAACGAATCGTCTTCTTTCTCTTATAATTTAGTGAAACGTCAAAGCTTCCGCGCTTTGCGCGGTAGGGGAGAAACTGAATTCATGAAGGACACGATACAACAAATCGTCTTCTTTCTCTAATGTGAAAGCTTCCCCGCTTCGCGCAGGAATGGGCGAAAATGAATTCAGACAAGGATTAAGAGTTGAGAATGGTACATCGAATCGTCTTCTGTCTTTAATAATCTAATGAAACGTCAGAGCTTCCGCGCTAGGGAACTTGATTCAAACAAGGATTAAGAGTCGAGAACGGTCCAACGAATCGTCTTCTTTCTCTAATAATTTAGTGAAACGTCAAAGCTTCCGCGCTTCGCGGGGGGGGGGGGGCTCCCTGCACGCAACTCCCTAGGGACCGCGCTTCGCGTGCTCACTACCGCCCCCTAAAATGAAATCCTGGCTACGCGCTTGGGAGGGGTGCAACTTGCCACACGCTTCTACCTCTTGATTGCTTTGATCTGGCCATTGCCGAAAATATTGGCACCTATCATCCCCCCCCCCCCCCCCAACCACGGATACAAATCGACACCCTTGCCTATTTATATCTCTAAAACACAATAAACATGAGCCAAATACTAGTATATACTAAACAATTTATATCTATAAATTAAAAATATCTCGTGGTTTGGTTTGTCTACCACTTCGAGTAACTTTTATTGACAAAAATAGGACTTTGCCTTTCAGCCTTAGGATTTAGGAACAAACGAAAAGAATTGTTTTATTACCGTTATGAATCTTACGAGTTTTCTTAAATTTTTCTTGAACACTAGATCTATTAAACAATTTGTCCATGTGAAATTTGCTGGGGTAACTCACAAGTCACAACAAACTGTCGATCTAAGTAAATATAAATACCTTTCTATCTTTAAAAAAAGGGCAGACAAAAATATAGTGAAATTCATCACCAAAAACCACAATAATATTAACGAGGACATTCACTTTTACTTTTTTTTTCGGGATTACTTTCAAACCTTCCATTATTAATTGTTAAGCGGTGTGACCTGCATCAGAATCGACACAAAATGTTTGCATCTGTGATCTCTTCTATTTAACTTTACCAAATAATTTTCAATAAAATTTCGTTCTTGAAAGTTTGGCAGATAAAAGACACTTTTTCGCAATGGCGGATACCATAATAAAATCTTCTTTTTTAGTCGTCAATTTCAACGACGGTGTTGCGTTTTCAGATTGGTAATCATTTTTCCCCATTTGTACAGTGATAGTAGTAGATGCACTCGTGCGAAAGAAAATACTTGTATGGTACCAGTCTGCCATATTCGTTGGCGGCGTGCTTTCAGTGATCAATGGACGAAAGTAGGAAAAAATGAAGGTTCTTTGAGAAAGAATATTTAAATTAACCACAATACGATGGCAGCCGGACCGCCACAAGAAAGGAATCAAGGTAGGTGTTGTCTTCGATTGATAAAAATGCTGATATATTATGAAAGATATATTTTAAAGACATCTTTTGATTCATAGAGAGTCGATGACGATGTTTCAATTCCAGTCGGTTCTGGCAATCGGTACTGGTACGCCTGCAGTTCCGGGGCGAGAAGGGCGAGACCTGTGCTAGACGGTCCTAGATCTATTTGCGCTGCAGCGATATCGCGTCGTCTGGCCTGGATCTGAGCGGTATGAAGTGAAGATAAACGGTAATAACCCTGTGGTTTGTGGAATCCTTGATAAAAATGTGATCTCTCCACATCTCCCATACACAGGTGGAGCGTGAAGACAATTTCGCACTGGCGCTTGCCGTGCTAAGTTCTAGATCTAGTTCTAGTTAGGCACATAGACTAGAGTAAAGGAGCCCGTAATCGGCCAGCTCCCGTTTTCGGCCGATTGGTTGGATGCAAGGTAAAATCACTCTAAAATACATCGCATAATAGCATAACACATATCCCACTCATACCATACCATGCCAGTGTCACTGAAGAACCACATTTGCAATGAAAAATATATCCTAAAATATCACATTTTAGCGATGTAATCGGCGGTCCCGCTACCCGAATCTGAAAAATCGAGTATCTTACGCGTGTATGTAAGAAATATGGGTACCATAAAATCAGCTTTATTTCAAGTATTTTTCAGATTTAGAGCCCGATTTTGTGTTAGTCGCAAGCTCAAAAGTATCTCATCGCATGTATTAAATCAATGCAGCCGGACCCTGCCACGCACACACGATATGTCTGTCTAATTCAGATTCAAACTTCCGATCACCGCTGTGCCTGTCTTCGGCCAGGCGAGCACCAGGGAGCTCCGGCGTGGGATACCTGCTCCGCCCGCATGTGCTGTACATCAGCGCGGAAACGCACGGCGCGCGCGAGCGCTTCCTATTGACTTTGTACATGCGGCCGTAAACTGAAACGCTCGGCCGATAACTGGCTCCAAAACAGTGAAAATTGAAATATTGTCATGGCAATTCGTGATTTTTTTCTGGGATTCTTTTTTTGTTTAAATAATAATAATATTTGCTTCATGATTTGAACAAAAAATGATAATAAATAGGAAGTAAAGGGTCCTAAAAAAAGGATTTTGTCTTAAGTGGCCGAAAACGGGCTCCTTTACTCTACATGGGGCACTAGAGGGCGCTTCGGTCGCGTACGAAAATCTGAATGGCCTTGCTGCGGTGGGTCGGCAATAATCAGCCCAAAACTTGGATATGGGAGGTTGGAAGGATATATCTTTTTTATAATGTTATCCGGTCTTACCCTTAACCATCCTATGTTTAATCTATGTAGGAATAACATGCGAGTATGATAAGAGAAACATCGGGACCATTACTGAAGTAACTTTTAAAATATTAGCCTAGAAATGACCACCAAACGGAAAAAATTGACATTTTTTCCCGACAAATCTTCATAAAATCTGAGTTATAAACAATTCACATCTAGGTAGGCCTACACTAATAGTAATACAAATACGATTTTCTGAAAATTCAGGTATGATTTTTTAAGTTTCTTTCAAGTATATTTCTGCGCATTGCAGCGCCAATATTCTTCACTGCTTCAAAATCACCCTTGATTTTTTTTTTTGCAACAAATTTGATACGAGATCCGCGAGTGTTCCCCGTTCCTTGCGTGTTGAAAGTTTGGTAATACATAGTTTGCATTGACTCGCGCACGAAAAAATGATAAAAACAAAATGTCAAATGAAGAAATAAACAAGCTTTTGTATAGTTATAAGAGTTCTACCGAGGTTTCTTTGTCGATTTAATTTAGTATATAGTCTCAATTAGAATTCAGAATTATCTCACTGAAAAGTTAAGAAACCAACAATGTTCTCGATCGTAGTTATTTTCATTTTGCCAGCAGCCGATCTAGCGTTGTTTGGGCAAAAAGCTAGGCCGCTGCCTTCCCACCGCTAAAATGGCGCGCTGCGGAGCTCCGAAGCTGCGTTGGTATCGCTGCAAACTCTCAGCCGGCTAGCTCCCCACGACGGACCATTCGCGGTATGGTGAGAGTGTGTGTGTGAGGTATGATTTTGGATTCGAGAACGCACGTAACGCAACCGTGCGCGTCATTTAGAGCTGTCGAATGTGTACGACCAATTTTACATGTACGATTTTTAGTACAGATACTTGGTCAGTTTTCTTCTTATATCTTTGGTTTTACAACATTTAAAAATATAATTTCTTCAAATCTGCTCCTGACTCGGTTCAGACTAATTGTCTGATGTGTGTTCAAGTCAATTTTTTGAATATATTTTTTTGCATGAATTTGCCTATTCTAGTAATATTTTCATTCGTCACATTGTAAGTTTTGATGGATTCTTGCTTAGGAAATCAATGAATGCATGCGACAGTAAGCAGTAGGGGCGGTGGTCCGAGAATAAGGATCGTCCGCATAAACGAGGATTGTCCGCATTTTCGCAGAAGTTTCATATTTCTGATCCGAGCGTTAGCGATGCCAAAAACAGATTTCGCTATGATTTTCTTGATGCATTTTAAATTGATTATGTAGTTGTACAGCAGAGACTTTTACATTATGAGCGATAAATCCTTGGGAAGACGGACAACCCATAAAAGTAGACGGTGAACTGGGGTTATTTTCAGACGCGGAATCAGTTTTTCGCATCGCCTGCGCGCAATTCGGGAACCTGCAGAGCAGCGGACGATCCTTATTTTTTAGGACATAATTTGTTTGTGTTTATGCGGACAATCCTCATCTCGTTCCCAGACAATCACCCCTACTGGTAAGTATGAAGCGGTGGTGGTGCAAAAGTGCACTAACATCCACAGGTTTACCCACACAATGTGTGTCTGATACCGTGGGGATCGTTTTACACTTTTACTTTCACGAAGCAGACTCCATTATCCATGACAGACAGTACATGTAGTGACTTGAATCTTTGTCAGGAAGTTGACAAACCATTTTACAAAGCTTTGACAGACACCAACCTCATGACACACATTGGCTAAAACACAGTCTTTGTCACAATCTATCTGAATTAATCCTGAACTACCCAAAGAGATTAAGATAAATTTTGCACAAACAGTTCATAAGTGTAAAAATGGAGGAGCTCTTTTTTAACAATACATGTAGACCTAGGTGCATGCAAAGATTATCGTGATTGGTCGATTACCATTTTGTCATTGATTGCAAACCTGTTTTTATGGGGTCCAGGACAGGTTGTGTATTCTTATTTTAAAGCCAACTGCAATAGAGATGTTTCTAGACACTCAGCCCCCATAGACTAGTTCTGAATGCTAAGGAAGCATCAAGGTGAAACTTCCTGAAATCCAGGCTAGCCAACGGGCAGGAGTTTGTACATTGTAAACTTACAACAATAGATATAGTTATTGCAGATCTGTTGTTAGATCGTGATAAATTCATTGAACAGTCAAATATTGTCAAATGAGCAATTCATTATAAATCATTGTAACATTAAATTTTGCTATTTGTAACTTTGGGTTTTATTTCAAAATCATGACAATGCAATGTTTTCTATCGATTGTATATTTTCAGCAGGACTTTTTTTTTTAATGAATTGATCATTCGAAACATAATTACATGATTATTTTATTTACTCTAAGGTAGATTATTTGTAATGATTTAATGCATAGGTCTTTCTTTGTGAAGTGCCTAGTAACAAATCATTTCTTTCACCTGTTACAAATAATTGTTTTTCAATAGTCAGCATGCATGCATGCATTACCTCCATGCTTTTACGTAGGGCGAGCAATACTGTTTGTCCAGCCTAGCAACAAATTAAATGCAATTTGCCTTCTGACTATTGAAATACAATGATAACAGGTCAGGGAATGTACATGTTTGCTACATGTTTACACCGTTGCTAGTTTAGCATACATAATTCTCCATACATTTTGAAAATCATCTATTGCATGACCAGTACTCAAGTATCATCTTTACATGTTCTTTCATCATTCAGATGCTACCGTCTACGTTGGAGGCTTGGATGAGAAGGTGACCGAGGCGTTACTATGGGAACTCTTCCTGCAGGCTGGACCTGTTGGTAAGTTCTAGATATGTTCCTATTTTTCTTATTCTTGATGAGTGACAGCAATCAATAAGCTGATTATTTTGTCACTTTTAAAGGAGGTCAACATTGCACATGTGTTTTCTTGTTGAATTAACGGACTTATCTTGTTAGGATACAACATTTTTGTAAATATTTTTTTTGAAAAGATTAATAGCTCCTAGGTGCTGTTGAAAAGGATTATCATTTCATTTGCACATTGCAGTAATTTGTTTTCTTGTTGTGTTAACTGACTTTAAATCTTGATGAGGATAATTAAAACAAATAAACACAGATATAAATGAATAGGAAGATAATTTCTAGGAACTGCTGAAGGGATTCTCATTTTAATGTTCCGGGAGAAAGCACAGTATATACAACCTCATCTCCACATTTTCTATCCAATCCAGTGAACACCCACATGCCGAAGGACAGGGTGACCCAGTCACATCAGGGTTATGGCTTTGTGGAATTCATGGGGGAGGAGGATGCCGACTATGCCATCAAGGTACTGAACATGATCAAGCTCTACGGCAAACCTGTCAGAGTTAACAAGGTAAGATTACATGAAGTAGTTATGAGAACAAAGTTAGATGATCTCACATCAAGGCAAACCTGTCCTGGGGGTGTAAAGATTCTAAGTTGGACTTAACTATTATGGAAAGCCGTTAGCATCTATGAAAATATTTTGTAAAATTTATTTCATAAGGCATAAAATGTTGATTCAAATCATTCATATTTTCTATTATCAAGGAGATTTCATGTTCTTAATGTGGAATTTATGAAAAGTCTAAAATACTTCAATTTATGCTTTTGAATATATTTCATTTTAAGGCTACAAATGGCTTTCAATAATGTTTAAGTCCAACTTCGAGTTAAGTTCAACTTTTGTTGTCTTTGTGAAACACCCCCCTGGTCGACAAGGTGAGGTGACGTTCCTATACCTCCTTCACTCCAACTAAAACGCCACCAGAACAACTACAGATGGAAGAAAATATTTCATTGCTCCTGCAGACCTGCCAACCAGTACGATTTAGTTGTATTTCGTACGATTTTTAGAAGCAAATACGACAGTACGATTTCCTCAATAAAATACGATTTTTTTTTTTTTTTTACTATTATTTTTTGTGTGTGTGTGCCATTTTCAATGGTAAAATGCCAATTCTGTCCTGTGAAGTATCCTATAAGCATCTCACATAGGCAATTTGGGGATATTCACTGGTTCATCGAACACACCAGTCGTGACAAAATCATGCATATTCAACCAATGATCCTTAATAAATTTCTTCCTGTATTTAGGAACTGTACAAGGCATTGATCCGCGTAACAGTCCGTGTTTATTTTTAAGAATACAACTTTTGTCAGTAAAATACAACTTTTGGGATTAAAGAATACAGTTTTTGAACTCCAGAGGTTGGCAGGTCTGCAAACTGGTTGGTTAAGAGTCAGTTTTGCGATGTGACCAGTGTATCAGAAGTTATGAAAGGACATAAAAACAGCTGATCTCTGAAAAAAAAGAAAAGGGAAAAAAGCATGGAGAATGCATGTCATCAAAATTCTGAAAACCATCAGGCTTTATGGCAAACCTGTTGGAGTCAAGAAGGTAAGATTACATGTTCAACAGTTATAAGAACAACACAGGTAAACACAAAAGGGATTGGGGTACATGGGTGGGGGTGGCGGGGGGGGGGGGGGGGGGAGGGTTGAGGGGGTAATGCCATCAAGGTGCTAATGATAAAGCTCTATGGTGAACCCGTCAAGGGGAACAAGTAAGATTACACTCCAAGAATTTATAAGGACAGCTGAGAGGGCAATTCAATCATTACAACGTTTTGCTTTGAAGAAGAAGAAAAGCTGAAATAACAGAGACTTTATAGCCTTGTTAAAGTTTGAACAAATGATGATCAACATTGCAACAAGAAAAATATAGACATCTGAAACTATGAAAAATTTCAAATACACTGTACATGTAGGTAAGTCAATAATGTCACTGAGATTAAGTGTCGGACAACCATGTTTTATTCCAACACCCTAATGGTTAAAATAATGAAAGGGACAATTACGAATGAGCAGGAGCTTGTTTCTTTTGAGGGGTTTACAACAACATATCCTTGATGTGTATAGAGTTTAGTACAACCCTGAGGGAAACTATGCTTAGGAGAAAATGGGCGTCATTGATTTTTGATAACGCCATGTTTTATCCATTCGTCAGACTTCTCAAGTTGATGCTTGAATTTTGAATACATATCTTCATCTTTCAATCCCTCAGGCATCGGCCCATCAGAAGAACCTTGACGTTGGAGCAAACATCTTCATCGGTAACCTCGACCCAGAGATTGACGAGAAGCTCCTCTATGACACCTTCAGTGCCTTTGGCGTCATCTTACAAACACCAAAGGTAAATCTTGAACTTGATTTTCAGGAGGGCAAGATATGGACTTGCATGAGATCACCCTGTTGTTTGGCATACAAATGTTAGGGGTTCAAGTACAACGCGTCCAAGTTAATGCCTCGACATTCAGGGGGTCATGAGTGATTTTTTTTTTTTTGGTGGGGGGGGGGGGCATGTATATTGAACCTCTGTATGAATCAAGTCATGTTGTCCCTTTGAGTTGTGGGTATTGCTCGGTTTTCCATGTTATTCATGAAATGCCCAATAACAGATATTTTAACAGGTTTCATTAAGAATGAAGCTACTGTGAATATGTTGACGTTTGGGGTCTTGACTGATTTTTTCGGGGCCCGCATGTACTGAACCCCTGGATGTGCCAAGTGTTGAGCCCTGTTGTGCCAGGAAGTTTCGGGAGCTAATTGATCATCAACATTATTCATAAAATACTAAATATCACATAATTGTAACAGTCAACAAACAAAGAAAAAAATATTTAAAAGTTTTTCTCTTTCCCTTTTTAGATAATGAGGGATGTGGAGTCAGGGAACTCCAAGGGGTACGCTTTCATCAACTTTGCCAGCATTAATAAATAATGGATCATCGTAACGGAATGCTAACAAACAAACGGATAATCATAACATTTTCTCTTTCCCTTTTTAGATTATGAGGGATGTGGAGTCTGGGAACTCCAAGGGGTACGCGTTTTTCAACTTTGCCAGCTTTTATAAATAATGGATCATCGTAACAGAATGCTAACAAACAAACAGAAAATAATTTATTTTCTCTTTTCCTTTCTTTAGATAATGAGGGATGTAGAGTCAGGGAACTCCTAGGGGTACGCTTTCATCAACTTTGCCAGCTTTTATAAATAGTGGATCATCCTATCAGAAAACAAACAAACGAACAGATAATCATAAAGTTTTTTTCCTTTGCTTTCTTTAGATGATGAGGGATGTAGAGTTTGGGAACTCAAAGGGGTACGCGTTCATCAACTTTGCCAGCTTTAATAAATAATGGATCATCGTAACAGAAAACAAAAAAACAAACAGATAATAAAAAAGTTTTTCTCTTTCCCTTTTTAGATAATGAGGGATGTGGAGTCAGGGAACTCCAAGGGGTACGCTTTCATCAACTTAGCCAGCTTTAATAAATAATGGATCATCGTAAAAGAAAATTTTAAAAAAACCAGATAAATAAAATGTTTTCTCTTTCCCTTTCTTTAGATAATGAGGGATGTGGAGTCTGGGAACTCCAAGGGGTACGCTTTCATCAACTTTGCCAGCTTTGAGGCAGCAGATGCAGCCATTGAAGCGATGAACGGACAGTACTTGTGCAACAGGGCCATCACCATCTCGTTTGCTTTCAAGAAAGATTCAAGAGGAGAGAGGCACGGATCAGCAGCAGGTACGGCGATAACATGTTGTTTTAAAGCCCCACTGCACTACTTGTAGCTACTTGCGCCCTCTATATAGCAAAGGATGGCTAATCGGTGCCCGTTGGTCCCCCATGGTCCCCTTTTTCTTATGTTAATTGAGAGCTGAGTTGATGAGATAACCACCTATCCAGTGACCTTTCAAGGTGGTCTAAGTCCTCCTGGCCAAATTAGTACAGAGGGGCTTTAACCCTTTTGCAACAATTTTTATGCCTCCGTTACGAAGTTCCACTTTTTGTGGTTTGGCTCAATAACGTATGATTCAGAGTGCTACAATATACACCAGATACATGAGAAGAAAAGGCATAGATTTCTGGAGAGACTGCATCCATTTTTGTTCAATGACTGCGTTTTACTTGATGCTAGGAGTTTTAAAAAGGAAACAAAATAATTGACATCCTGAAATTGGCAGCATATTGAGAAATTCAAAATCATTGCTTTCAATAAAAAATGTCCATCTAAAAAATGTTTGTCAACATTCTTGCCCGTGTATATTGTTTTCAGAGACATTGCATTTTATTTTATCATATTAGCGATAAATAAAAATATTATTGTTGCAAATTTGAAGAACAATATGTGATCCAATTTAGCCCTCAAGATAAATCCTGTTGTGAAAGGGTTAAGAAGAAACAGATCCTGTTGATGTTGGCTCACCGTGCAGTTTGTTTTAAAAGCTGTTTAGAGGGTATTTAGTTTGTTTTAAATGTTAAGAGTGAATGACCCACTGTCCTGCTGGTGGTAATGTCACTGGAAGCGTAGCTGTAGCTTAAAAGTAAAGATGGAGCTGGTTTCAACTTACAACATTTTCTTTGTTTAATTATTTATTATTATTATTTGTTTGTTTCAGAATGTTATTCAGTATGTTTGATGATATTCATAGAAATGGCGATAAAACTTACCATTGACGGTTACTTTACCATCAATGGCAACTACCATGGTAACAAAACTCAACAGCCAATCAAAATCAAGGTTTCCATGGTAGTTACAATTGATGGCAAAGTTATAATCAATAGTAAGTTTTGATCTCCAGGAAGAAAATCTAAACCATAATTTGATAAAGAAATAAATACCGCTTGTTTCCCACAAAATCTCTCACTCAAAATGTACTTTCTCCCTACAGAACGCCTGCTTGCTGCTCAGAACCCACTCTCTCAGGCAGACCGGCCTCATCAATTGTTTGCCGACGCCCCGCCCACAGCTCAGGCCAATGGTGTAGTCTCGTCCCTGGGACAAGCCCCGCCTCCTCCACCCTCTGGTAAGGGCTGTTCAGATAGTATAGAAGAAATATTTGTATGTGTATGTGTAATAGTAAAATCTTGTAAGGGCTGTTTAGATAGTACAGAAGAAATTGATGTGTGTGTATGTGTAACAGTAAAAAAATTTGATATATTTACAGTTTACAACTAAATTATTCATACCCCTTGTAAATTGTATTTTGTTTTTTGTGTGTTTTGTAACTCAAGAATGAAAGGTGGCCTGGTTGAATTAGGACCTTTGTTGAGCATTTATATAGATGTAGGCTTTAATGCTTCACATTTTCAAGAAACATAAATTGGGACAAATCAATTTTTCACATACTTTAAGTCCCACTGCACTACTTATAGCTACTTGCATCCTCTATATAGCAAACAATGCCTAAGCGGTGACCAATGGTCCCCCACGATCCTCTTTTTCTTATGTTAATTGAGAGCTGATTTGATGAGATAACCACCTGTCAGTGACCTTGCAGGGATGTCTAATCTCTCCTGGCCAATCTAGTGCAGTGGGGCTTTGATGCTTCATATTCTCAAGAAACATAAATCGGGACAAATTAATTTTTCACATACTTTAACAATTACAAATCTTGCAAAGGGTAAGAGTTATTCAGGTGTTAACTGTATATAGTGCAATTACTTGAAAGACTCAGTGCTCTTGTAGGGGTGTGTTGGAATCTCTCATGCAAGTGCTCACAAGCTCCACTGTCCAGGAATTTTTTTTCATCGTGATTTCAATTCATTTTGTCACTGAAACTAAGAAAAAGTGGGTACCCCATTTTATAATCAAGTAAATCGACCTATGTTGAAAAGGTAGTCAAACTGATTATGGAAATCAAAGGACAAAAACGAGCTGTTCTTTTGGCATTAGAACATTTTAGTTCTCTTGGATATGGCATTAATCTTCAATTGCTTATCCCTCTGAGTTGGACTTGAAGTTCTTGGTCAGCAGCTGCTTATCTACGAAGGTGTTCATTGAGGCTTGCTTTCTTTATATTCTAGAGAAAATGAAGTCTGGTTAAAGGGAACGCATCGTTGATTTTTAAAACGAAATATCAGCACAATCTGTTTGACATAAAACATACTTGTAAGTCTATTGGTAGACTTGGGGTTTTCATTGTAAAAGGACAAGTATTTGGTGGTTCTCTTGGTTGTAATGATTCTTATTTTGATAGTAACTTTTATTTGCTCATATCTGCATCATATTTCATGTGCCCAGAGCAAACAGTAAAGCTGGTGATAATGCTTCTAAGGCCTCTGCACCAAGACTGTTGGAATGACCTGCCATGATCTGTCTGCCTGTCTCTTTCATTAGATGTTTTTAAGAAGGCTCTCAAAACTCTCCTATTCAATTATTATCATTAAATTTTGCTCCTTGTAAGTTAATTTGTTTGAACTGTGTGAAGCGCTGTGAAACTATTTAATATGTGTAAGAGTTCTATATAAATGACTTATTTTATTATTATCTTCAATTTCAGGAGGAACGGCAACCAGCAATGTACCAACCAGCAATCCCCTTCCTATGCCCCCTCCCTTCCCCATGCCCCCAGGCATGCCACCCCCAGGTATGCCCCCTCCCGGTATGCCTCCCATGGGTATGCCCCCACCCATCCCCCCACCGGGGATGCCGCCCCCACCCATGCCTCCTCCACCGGTTCCACCACCCGGGGGCATGCCCCACATGGGGCCTGGTGGTATGCCACCCCCTCCGCCCAACATGATGGGCGGGTTACCCCCACCCCCTGTGCCCCCGCCCGATATGAGGGGACCGCCACACAGAGGAATGCATCATGGCCCCCATGGACCATTCCCGCCCCCTCCTCACATGAGACCTCCCCCGATGGGTGGGCCACACCCCCATGGACCGCCGGATAGATTCAGGATGGGACCACCGGGTAAGTTTTTTCATTTCATTTCATTTCAATTTCATTTCATTTATTTTCCATTAAAATTCAAAGTAAAATACATAACAAATGAACAGCAAAATCGATGATCCATCATTTGCTCTAGCGAAAATTGCTCCATTTATCTATTTATTCGGCACTTTCAAGAAATATAACGAGGAAACAATATAAACAAGGTGATTATAAATTTTGAATGACAAAATAATTATACAAATTAAAATTATTGTAGCAATATTCTAAGTGCAAAAGATAGCGGCCAGGGAAAAGGAGAGGAAACTTAAACACTGTATCCCTGATGGTCCCTCCAGACTTAAGTTTGCCAAAGGAATAGAGTTAAGGTTCGGGTTTTATTTGAGTTTACCTTAGGGAATAGGGTCAGGTATAGTTTCTGGTCCTGGGTCAAAGTTTGGAATTTGGTTAATGAAGGAAATTAATGCCTTGCCAAAGGACATAAGTGCCGTGTCGGGGATCGAACCACGACCTTCGAATTTCAAGTCAAGTGCTTAGACCACTCGACTACGACACACATATATATATATCCCTTATTTTTCTGAGGAAGGATGGTCGATATGCTTTTGCATGGCATGGATTACTATTACGTTCCACTTGTTGATATATAAAACAAATAAAATATTTTTATGTTTAGGTTGCTTTTGTGCTATCACGTTAAAAGCTCTGAAGTTAAAATTGTATGCGCATGTAAGACGCATATATCAAACAGAATGTCAGGAACTGAATGATTTTAGAGGATGTTGCGTCATCCTGTGTTTCAACTCTCTCAAAGTAAAGTTTTTCTTCTGAACTGCTATCATATCTCGCCATGAATATATTAACATTACTTGCCGTCTTGCTATAAATTTAGCTGTAGAGTATAGCACAGTGAATAAGCCGGTGTATTTCATGGCATAGTATTTGCCGACGAGAACCATAATAAATTGAAATATAACTTTTTGATAAATTCATTTTTTTTTTTTCATTAACAAAAATCAGTATATCAAATTGTAAGAAAGAAAAAACCTTATGTGAAATTTTCAAATGGTCACGACTCATCAATTATAACACAAATTTTTGGGAAACTCAAGAAGATTCCTTTTCACAAAATGGCTGTCTTCGCCTATTCACAAGAGTTTTATTCGAACCTATCCGGTTTTACTGTACATTTCTACTTTCCGGTCAGTGATATATATATATATATATTTCATATCCTCTTTTACTTTACCTTTTGTACATCTTACGTGAAAGCATGTACAGATCGTAAGATAAATTCAAATTTTTAAACAATATGTTTTTGTTTTGTTTTTTAAATCACAGGACCACATCAAGACAGATATAATATGGGCCCAAGGGGACCACCCCCTCCTTTCAGAGGCCCTCCGAGAGGCCCTCCATTCGGTGGTGAGTATAACATTCCATCTGCAGCCCTTGGTATTTTATGAACAGTCCAGATAATCAATGTAACGCTGCAATTAGGAGGTCACATATATTTCATTGTTCATTGTCGTGGAGCTGTAATTATTTGTCAATGTTGGTATTTAAAACCGTGACTTGATTTTTAAAAAAATGTTTAATTTAAAAAGATCACTCTACCTTGTCTTTCCTGTTCATATACATGTATGTTATGATATAATTTTAATCTGTACTGATAGGAAATTGGTGATTGGAGAATAGTTTAAAAATTAATTTAATGAAATCATTTTGGTGGACCAGCAGAGTTGTTTTTTGTCAAATCAAAATGTTTATACATTTATCAAATTCATAAAATGATTTTCCTTTCCTGGGTTCTCAATCTGTAGCAAATAAAGGGCTCCTACATTATTACTATCATTCCCAGTGTTCTGACAAATATTGCTGGATGCCTCTTTTCAACAAAAATATAGCGTTATGGCTAGTACTGAAATTGGCAGTTAGGAATCGTAATTGGTCCAGTGTTTTTGAAATTTATTTATAGTGTTGCAAAATGACGATGGAGTGATTGTTCTAGGGCATGTGTGCCCCAATTTTACACCCCAAGCACAACTATATTTATCATCATAGTCGTATGATTGCGTGTTGCTGATAACAATTTGTCTTTTCAATTTTTGTTAATTCCCTACCCAGGCCCTCCACACGGCGGACCACACAGGGGACCGCCGCCCCGCATGCCTCCTAGGCCACCCAGATATTAGGACCACTAGCAAGCTATCGTCAAAAGGTCCTGCATTTGGACCGAACCGACTTGAGGACCAGCTACCACTTATCATCATGATTCCTGCATCTAGACATCATGATCTTGTGAATGTTTACCAACCACGCGTTAGGACCAGTTAGAAGCTATTTTTGTGGTTTCTACATCCGGACCTTGTTTCCGATGGACGCAAGTCTGCCAGGTCACCTGCATAATTATAGATACCAGCCATAATTGCAGTTCCTGCATCCAGACTTTGTTACCCGTTTGGCTAAAGTCTCCTATACCTCAAAGATATTAGAACCCGCCTCAACTACCATCATCATCCCTGCATCCCGACCTCAATGTCCAAGTCTTAGAAGAAGAAATCCTTGAACAGGAAGTAAAATAAGATGTGACATACTAACAGGACAGTCATCACCTTGTCCTGTCTTTCATATTCTTATCTTCCAATTACCCATATTGGCCTGAAGGGGACCGTGTCTTGTTATTCTATCAAGCCTCTGAATACACTCAAGAGAACTTCTTGTCACCACGTAAAAGAAGTGCTAATGTTCGACATCTGTGTTCAAAGCTCAAAGGGTCATACATGTATATGAAAAATAGCTTGTAATCACAATATTCTGAGAACGTGTTAAAGGATTACAATCAAACTTGAATTTTAAAATTGCTTCTGTTTTGGTTTGTAAGATCGCTCTATGGCGGAGGCATCATAACATCCATCTAGTTTCTTTCTAATATCTGTAAGACCTTGTCTTACCTTGTCTTCTGATGTTTCCTCAATCGTTTATATTTCTTGCTTGGTTGCAAGATTGAAAGTAATTGATTACACTGGAAAAAATTATGACGAAGGCAGTTCTTACTCGGTTATTCTCATCGGTAATGATAACAACCTTACTGGTCCAAATGCGAAATATGGTTCCATTATACCACAGATGGAAAACCTCCCGAAGTATTCGAGCATATCACTTTACAGGAGCTATGGTATGATCTACATGTATGTAAATAGAATATTGTCACTTTTCTCTCTTTAGAAGATTTTTTTTTTGTTTACTTTTTTCATTCTTAAACTATTTGTTACTGTATCAAAGGATGTAAAGTTTGAATAAATAAATTTGTAAATATACTCCTAGTATGCAGAAAATGTGAATGTGTTGTTTGTTGTGTATCATTTGTAAATACATGTATATTAGTGTTATAAAAGTCAGAAGGATCAACATTTGGATAATAAAGGCAACTGGCTCAGGGCGAAAAGAAATGCTCATGATTGAGCAAATCACCTAGCTTAGGGCCAGATTCATATTAAAAAAGGAAAAAAATATATTTCCACAACAAAATTGGGCTTCCTAGAGGTATATTTTTAAAGGTTGAGCTACCTATAAAGTATAGTGTAAGACAAAAAATATAAAGGAAGGGTTTTTTTTCTTGTTTTTTTTTCTTAATTGTTCGTTTGTTTTTGTGCTTGTTGTGTATTTTTGCTTTACTGCTTTGACTATGAGAATTCAGTTCTTATTCCCAATTGCTCTCACTTTCTATCAATTTGCTATCGCGGTTATCTGTGGTTAAATCTTCCACAAATGTCTAATTATGGTCCTTCTTTTCATGTGGAACTGCAGCACGAAATAAGAGCTTTTTCTCTTTTCATTTCCTTTTCTCATTCAAACAAGACTTTCTAATTTCAACATGTGCATGGAAGATAAATATCCAAATTGATGAGGACACACATTAAAAACCACCTGCCCACTTTCAGCAGAGGGTTATTCACATTAATAGATCAACTTTGGAAGCCACTACTGATGTGAGATGGCAAAAAGCCAATTAATTTGTGATGGTTACTTCATGGAAAACACCCGAGGAAAGGTCGTTTGTTGATCGGAATATAGACTCTTTGATATGCATTCGTGCCCATACATGCATGCCCAATGATCTATTAGAGAGGATAAAATTGACAACAAGTTGCCCTTTGTCGGCTAATATGTGCTGCACATGACAATTGGGAAAGAAATAGTGAACACAAAAATTAACCCAATATTTGATAATTGTTCACTTTCTTGTCCTCTTCCTTTCATCCGAATGTATTTACCTGTAAGTATTCCGATCAGTTTTGTTTTGTCTTCCTTAGTTTGACAAGTTTTCCTGTTATTACCCCCCCCCCCCCCCCAACATGCCTCTCTCTCTCTCTCTCTTTCTTCTTTTTCTTCTTCTTTTCTTCTCTCTCTCCCTTATTTCACTTCTGATCTTGCTCTCTCTCTCTTTCTCTTTCTTTCTCTCTCTATCTCTCTCTCTCTCTCTCTCTCTCTCCCTTTCCCCTCTCTTCTTCCCTTGCCTTTCTTCCTCCCTCCCCCTCTTTCTTTCTCTTCCTTCTCACATTCTTGTACAAACACCCTTTCAGTCTCTCTCTCTCTCTCTCTCTCTCTCTCTTTCCTTCTTTCCCTTTAACTTTATCCTCTTACATGTTTTATCCTACACAAATTATAACATCAATTCTAGTACTCACAATAAAAACAAGTCCTCTCTTTTAACAATGTTTTCAGCCGACGTCATTTATGGCAAAATGCCAATGCACGTTTATTTTTCATTTAAGTAGAATCGTGAGCAAACGGAACTTCAGTTCTATTGATGATATTGTTGTCAACATTTGTGACGAATTTATTACTCTTGGTAAAAAGAACCTTAACAATGAGAACAAAACGCACAAATCTCATTAATTTGGCATCATGCTTGTTAAACCGACGATTATATATTATCATTTCTCATGAGACTGTTGTGGAATTCTTCTTCTTTGTCTTCTCTTTCTTCTTCTACTTGTTCTTCTTCTACTTCTTCTACTACTTCTCCTCCTTATCCTTCTCCTTCCCCACCTAATTTTTCCTTCCTCTTCTCCTTCTTCTCCTCCTCCTCCCTCTCTCCCTCTCCCTCCCTCTCTCTCTCTCCCTCTCCACGTTTCATAGGAAGACTCATGTAATACTGTTGATTATGTAATCAACCAGTATATGTCATTCCCTGTTGCTTCACTCTTCCAAGAAACGAAGCTCATTAAGAATAATAATCAGTACTTGTTATGAATGTTTTTTGGAATGATCAGTAGTTCACAGCTCCCTTTTGTGAATACATATCTAATGAGGGGGATACGATAAGAAGAAATTCGTACGGCTTCATAAGAAGGCCTACTGGTCAAAATGTAAACATCAATACAATTTGAAAGGGCAATTTGTAAAGAGTGACAATAGCCTCTGAAATATTAAAGCGGTGCTTAGGTTGTTGAAATTATCACTTTTTAATATATATAACTCTATTCTGCATAAGAAGAATGATTTAAAGATCAATCCGGCGCAAATGCTCTCTCCAATTTGTCTAACTTTTGATGTATTTTACGGTTGTACTTATCTTTCTTTCTCCATCCCTCCTTCCATTTCTCTCTCTCTCTCCCTTCCACTCCTCTCTCTCTCTCTCTCTCTCTCTCCCTCCCTCTCTCTCTCTCCCTTTCTCTCTCTCCCTCCCCTCTCTCTCTCTCTCTCCCTCTCTCTCCACACTCTCCCTCCCTCTTTCCACCATATTTATTTCATCTCTCCAAGTAATATCGCACTTCATTTTCTCCCTCTCTCTCTCTCTCTCTCTCTCTCTCTCCCTCCCCTCTCTCTCTCTCTCTCCCTCTCTCTCCACACTCTCCCTCCCTCTTTCCACCATATTTCTTTCATCTCTCCAACTAATATCGCACTTCAGTTTTCCCCCTTCTCTCTCTCTCTCTCTCTCTCTCTCTCTCTCTCTCTCATTCCGTCCATCTCTCTTTCGACAATGACATTAATCAATAAATCAGTTCAAGAGTCTGTGGTATGAGGTAGTCAAGACAGTTTTCTTGGTGTTTATTTAATGCAGCTTCATTATATATATATTTTTTTCAAATTATGTGTAACAATATAAACCTCTTGAAACATCAGGTCACTCCAACCCACGAGGCAAAAAAAAAATAACAATAATAATGGATGCATTTCAATTCCTTTGCTCTCCCTCCTCCTCCTCTCCGTCCCAGAAAACAAACAAAAAATCCATATGTAAATTTGCTTGAATAATTATCAGCAGTAGGCAAAAAACACACATGTATTATTACAGAAAGCTATTCATGAATATTCAAATAGGTTACACACATGGCTTATGAATTATTCATGACACGATGAATGAAAACATTTGTACATAAATGTTTGCTTTTGACATAAAGCTACATCACACATTTTTAAAAAAGATGCAATTATTTTAAATTCTCTTTGTTCCAAGCATTTTAAAAGAAAATGCTGAAGAAACAATCTCATCCGAACAAATGGCGTCGCAATATCATCTCCTAAAATCGGTTTCATGGGAAGAGGGCGATGGAAAATCTGAATCCGAGATGGATCTATTGCCTATCACAGCCAGAAAGGCATTAGCTCTGTGTTAAAGTATATACAAGTCAATGCCGTTCTGGCTACAAAAAGACAATACCATCACTACATATCTGCAGTCATAATCCTCATCATTCAGATTCTCCGCTTTAACGACCTTTTGGCACAAACCCGACCCATCATACGTTGGCCTTTCGGTCTTTTCTATACTACTTCAAACCACTCCGAGAGAAATGTCTCTCGGCTACGGTCTATTCTATTTGCAACAATCGGTTCCCAAATGCCTTTTGATTCTCACATTCAGTGCACACACATAGAGAAATCAGTTTCTAACCACTGTACAAAATATCACATTTCGTCTATTTGGAGCCGGAAGGGCGTTAACTCATATACTTCAACACAGAGTTAATGCCCTCCTGGCTCTGAACATACGATTGACTCTTTTATTTTTCTGATTTAAAAGCAAGATTTCTAAAGGCTTTCCATCATGATGTGAGAAATGCTTCAAATTCTTAATCCTAGCTTCCAGCCCCCTTCCCAAACCCCCAATAGCATGTACAACCCCCTTTCCTGTTAGGATCGTCTGCCAAGAGCCAGAAGGGTGTTAAGATGCATCCTTCGACCCTCCTGGCTCTCAGTAGATAGTGTATCCTTACAATATTACTTAGCAATGTCAAATGAATGTCATCCTTTTTAAAGCTCCCCATGAAGCCATTATTTTCCTCTTTTTTTGAGGGGGGAGGGGGTAGGGGTAGGGAGAGCAGTAGTTCATCTCATCCTCCTCTCGAGATATAGCTTCAAGCTCAACAACTTGCGTCAAATCTTTGAATTACACCAAGGAACCTACCCAGAAGCGGCATTTGGCATTGGAAACGAATATGTTGCAAAAACGTACAAGACATTCCGACCTAGTGGATATCTACTGCATAGTCAACACTACAATAACACTTTTCTCCATTTTTCGTTATCAATTTTTAGACATTACATCAGCAGTACATTTTCAGCAATGTACACACACAAAATTCTTTCTGCCCATCGGGTGTTTTCACCTCCACTGCGAGAAATAAACAATAACACTTTGACTATTGTTTGTATCATCATTAAAATTCTGAAAATGATATAATATATATATATATTTTTAAACATATACATATATTTCTGAGACCCTTGTACAGTATCTACATGTACACTTGCATCAGCTTTTAAAACGAGACATGAGAAACACACACACTGTACAAATGGAGAGAATCATGCGCTAGTTACAATAAAAGCATTGATTTTTTAGCATTTCTCAATCTCCTAATCCACATAATTATTCTGTACAAAGCAATACTATTATATATTTACGAAATGTACATACCCATACATGCGTGATTTAGTAGTGCTTTTGGCCGTTTTGACGCACGTGATCACATTTGAACAGTGAGGTTAGTTCCACATATTTTCCATCCTCTGATTAAAAAAAAAATTAAAAATCAGAAATGGGGCCCCTCGTAGGGCACACGCACGCAGACACCCACAAACACACACACACACACTGACCGAGTGGATCTCAAGATGCCTTGCCTTAGCTTTAGCCCAACATGACAACAAACCATGGATTCAAAATAATAGTAGCACCAGTTTTAAATTTGATTCTTTCTTAGATCTCTGTCATGTTTCATGATGCTCAAAGCACTGTAGACAAAGCAAAAAGACTTCGGTATTTTTGTTATGTTTGGCCAGAAAAAATTCAGATAAGTAAATTCCAACTTCAGGTCTTTCCTTTTTCTTTAAAAAAAAAAAGCAACTGAAAAATTGCTACACATGTACAGTTTATTAATGCCCTTGTGAATCTTCATTTAATCATTTCTTTTTGAAATGATTAACTGTTTCTTTCAGCTGGTCCCCTATTTCTGGCAACGACAAAAATACAAATGCATTTCAATTTTCAAGCAGGTCAATATATTTCAAACATAAGACACGTATTCCACACACTAAAATTTATGTTATAATGATGATATAACCAAGCTAAAAGCTAAAGATGCGGGAAGGGGAACTAACGGTCACAAAGCAATTTTAATAAATAAATTCTGATTAAAAATATTTAAAAAATCAATGCTTCCTAGTCTTTCATTCCGAGAAACTGCATAGCCACACACCTGGACTTAATCGATATCTTTTGTTATTGATGGGAGATGGTTTAAATGTAGTTTAATTATTATAAGAGTGTTGGTGTTTTTGTTGAGGCTATAATATTTTAACCAATGTTTAAGAGAGGAAGAATAGTGGCAGAGCAATAAGAAAAGTGTCAAAACTGCCAATTTGAAAGAAACAAAAAAGAGAGGGAATAAATCAATGTTTTTTTTTAATTTTTTGTATCCAAGTCTGGGTGGGCCAAACTCTGTGTAGAGATGGCTCTGGTTTATACCCATGTGCACATTAATCATGATGGTTTCTAACTTTTCTTTGATGGTGGAAACCCATTCTCATATGGCAGAGAAAAATAGAGTCGAGGCAGCCATTCATACCTATAATCACCCATTCCATAAAACTTGAATTCTTAAAATCAAATCCGGGTGAAATTCAAATAGAATCAAATACAAATACAATCCGCCGTAATGCCCATTCAACCCTAAACTGAATACATCTTCTCATGTTCTGATTATCCTACGACCTTTCCACCCCTTTGAATTTGCTGTGGATTTTTGAAGAACAATTCTGTCATTGGCATACCAGTAAACTGTGTGGCTATCTAGTCATAACAGCCTTATCTCGCAACTTTGTTACTCCTTTTATTCGCATTGTTTGGCACTATGCTCTCTACAAGACATGACTTTACAAAAAATGGGGGTATATACCTATACATCAATGTGACCTAAAAAGTATTATATTTTTTTAATAAAATGCAGCATTTTGTAATTTTCACCATGAAAATAAACATACTGACCGAAACAATTTAACTGCACAGTGAATCACGAGCTCCTACTAATTAAACAGCGAAAATGAAAATAAAACAAAATTACAATACATTATATACAAAAGAAAGGACAAGAAATGGTTTTGCCTTTAACATCAAAGCTTTTGTACATTAATTGACATAAATGAGGTATTTTTTTTTTATGAAGATGACTTGTTTACAAGAAAATTAAAAATTGATTGATCAAAATCAAGAATTCATTTATTAGAATAAAAATGCTTTACGTAAAAATTTCAATAAAAGTACCTAGAATGGCCTATTCTAAAAGGTGAACCTACAGAGCATGCATAAAAGTTAAGCCTTATCCACTGCCACATGTCAGCTCTGATCAGAGCCAAACAGTTGTCAACTCTGTGTATGAGGATACAAGTCCTTCTCGCTCTTAAGAGGTGAAATGCTCTACGAGCTTCAACATGAGCTTTGTCGGGCTACTCTTAGCAAAATAACAAAGGTGGCAAAATCTGGAATTGCCCCAAACATTATCACTATTGGTGTGCCTCAGGGGTGTGTATTATCCCCAGTGCTATTTCAACTGTACACAAGTGACTGTGTTAGCACGGAGGCCAATGTGAATACAGTATGAATTTAATTTCAATATTCCAATAGCAAAACAGAAATTATTAGGATCACACCCGACATGGAATCCATACTTGAAATACAGACGAAGAAAGAAAAAAAATCAAACTACCAAAAAGAAGGGGAATGAGAGATAATGGTTCACAAATCACAAGTCAAAATACCTAGCCATAATACTGCTTCACTCTTACGTATATATAGTATATTTCTGTTATCATATATGTTCTATATATATATTTACATGCATGTTGATATATTTATATGTATTTATCCCTGTATCTACATAAAATTCTTTACAAGCAAAATCAGCTTTGCAGACCGTTTCATTATTAGCTCCTTTTCAGACTATGCCAAACATGATAAAATCATAGTCCACTGTAGTACAATATAGGCATAGGAAACATTAGGACACAACAAATATTTGAAAACAATTTCCTCCCTACTCAACAAATTAAAATGCTGATATTTCATTCAAAACATACACACACAAATTCTTCCACAAAAATTGTTTAAACAAACAAACAAACAAAAGAATAAAAATCACAATACCTACTGATTTACTCGTCAAAAAGCTGTTTTGAAAACGACCATCAAATTCCAAATTACAACAAGACTAATAACAAACAACAGCATGGAACAACGATGCTAGTAAACAATAAAAATGAGAATAAAATAATCAAAAATTACCCGTTTTTTATTTCTTTCAATCTATTTCAAAGCAAGGAACCAACACAAATGGTTTCCCTAGCCGTACAAAAACAACAAAAAAGACAGAAAATAAAGAACATTCAGTCTCACCAAAACCATAGTTATTCTTTATCTTCTTCCTGAAAAAGTACTAATTATGTTTCTCTCTTCCTGATATCATATTAGAGCATCTTTCTCTTTTTTTTCTCCACTATTTTGCTTCGATTATGATTATCATTCCTGCCATTCACCTCCAAAGTACATGCCGCACAAATAAAACCTTCTTTATCTCTTTTCAGTACTTAAGAATTTAAAAAAATGCACAAATATAAACAAAAAGGCTTGTCACGATATCATCTTCTCATCTTAGAAATGTCATAGAAATGTGTATCTTTGTCAAGAGAAAATTGATGCAATCTTTGTTGCTTTTTGCCACCATCAATCTATGATTTTGTGATCAATTTGATTGTATACTTAATAAATTTATATATTTATCAGATATTTAAAAGATTTAAGAGATGTTGGTGATTTTTTTTGCAGTTCACATTTCAGACGAATTACCTTCTCTGCAATGAACTTCTATCAATTCACAAAAAACCCAAACAAATTCATGGCATTTAAAAGTTAAAAGCTTGAGCTAAAGATAACAGATGGTTTAAGGCAATAACATCAAACATACAAGAAGCCGTATGAGGTTTCATTCCTTGAAAGAAAGCTACTTCTCTGTCCCCATTTCACTCCCTTCACGAGCAACGTGCGTGAATTCCCGACATTTTTGCGACCCTCTTCTTTTTTTGAAATAAAAGAAGTCTTTTCGTTATTTTGCAACAAAAAGCCACAAAAACACAACAACATAGAGGGAGAGAGGAGTACGACATGGGTTACGAACAAGTTTTTAACAGCAACATATCTTATGGCCCCATTCACACCGGCTACAAAACAGACCCCAAACCGACTATAGACCAAACAAAAGGTTATATCACCACACTAATAGCCAAGAGTCAGTGCGGAGCCAGTTTGGCGGTGTGAAGGGGTATCACCAAACTCGGACACGGAAGAGAAAATAGATTTTTTTTGATTGTCGTGCACTGTTAAGAGGTGATTTTGAGGTTAGCATCAATCAATCTATCAATACTTTTAATAGTTTTTATTCACCTAGTGGAACACAACGTTAATGAGGTATTTTATTGACATTTCAATAGACGTTGAAGCGAAACAAGATTTTTTTTTTCTCCTTAAAATTGTTTTGTAAGGCAAGATAAAAAATATCGCACCAATTTGCCCAAAAACATGAGGTAAAAGTTTTTTGAAGGAAGTTAGGCAATTTCTTTCTTTTTTTTTCAGATTCAAAATGAGAACATATTCCAGCTGCAAATATGAGATTATAATAACAATGAACAAACAATAAAATTCATGCAAAAACGTATCCATAACTCCAACCATCACTATAGAAATATCTGAGTCATTCAACAAACATAAACCAGATAAAATAATATAGAATAGCTGCTTGTCAAATACTCGAAAACTAGCGGACATAAAAAAAATTGTAATTAAAACAAAAAAAATCCTCATTATTGTCTGAATCAAATCATACAATGCTCTGTCATGAATAAAAGTCTGTCAAAGTATTGACAAAGAATTCAAATGTACATCCATGAAAACATATCTAGGAAACAAATATATAATATTCATTGGCAGTGATCTTAGTCTTATACACAAGAATTTTGAAATGCTGGCAACAAAAATCTAAAAAAATTGAATATACATCACATTATGTATATCATATATCTACATATATATATATCTATATATGCTTGTAAATTTGTTATGCATACTTTATTTGCAAAGTAACGGAAACATCTCTGAAACACGTACATGGCTGCGAAGAGAAACGAAAGGGTTGCGATGGCTATAGTGTAACGCAGGGATGAGAAATGGAGTCATCGATATGCAAAATTACAGCGGTCGACTCGAAACGAGTAACGTTTGGCATCTAATTCACACATAGACAGCGTTGACTGTATGTACACGAAGCAGTGGACGTCAATATAAGTGACAAGGGTTTACTACTTCAGACGAGCTAAGAGCGAGGACAGAAATAACTCAGGCACTACGTCTCCTTCACGATGCGGGTTTGTTGGCGCGATATGGACGTAAGCGTTGCCGTGGCGTTACCAGCTTCCTCCGGCGCACAGCTACATTACATCATCCTCTGGATTCACAGACAGACTCTTGGTTTGCGACGACCTGAAACTCTTTCATTGATGCAAACACCGGAGTCCACCACCTTCCCCTGTTCCGATTCAAACCTGCCCGTCAGAGTCCCTCAGGTATAACCTACACCTCACTTTGCGGACACCTAACAACGTCCTCCTTTTTTGATGTCTCTGAAGATTCTTCAATGTCCTCTATTTCTTGCTTCACCACCACTTTCTTCTTTTCCGCCACCTTCTGTGCATCTTTCACATCACCAGAGTCTAAACTACTGTCCCTGTTTGGTGGTGATTGGTCTAATCTCTCTTCCTTCTCCTTCTCTTTCTCCTCCTCCTCTTTCCCCTTCTCTCCATCCTTGGTGGCCTCATCGCCTTTTCCTTTCTGGGACCTCTGCAGATCTCTCCGGAGCTGGTCTCTCTCTTCCTCCAGATCCCTCACTCGATCCTTGAGGTATTCGTTCTGAGATCCCAGGCGTTCATTGTCCCTGCCGATCTCGTTGGACTTCTCGCTTCGTCGGCTCCGGGCCAGCTCCAGGTCTCGCTTGAGGCGCTGGCGTGACTCGTTGGACTCCCGGAGCTTCCTCTCGTACTCGATCCTGACCCGGTCAAGCTCCTTGCGCAGCGAGCGCTTGGATTCCATGGCCTCCCTGATCTTGTCTTTCTTGGTCAGTCTCAAGAACTCCATCTCCTGCAAAGAACGATCAAGCACACAACATGATAAGTTTACGGAACAGTTAGTTATCGCAATGTTCAACAAATCCCTTCTGTTCTTATGAGCTCCTTCTGCATTTTATGAATACTAAAGTAAGATTTCCTTTAGGTGGGGCTCAGCAATAACAGACACAAGAGACACGTGCCCAAAATTCAAGCCCGGACCACTAAAATTTTGAAATTTTTACAAAGGGCTTGTTCATAAAGACCGTAAAAAGTTCAATCCTGACCCCCTTGCACAAAATTTAGTGTGAAGCCCTGCTTAAGATTCTTTTTTACAACTTCTTCACTGATCTTTCAAGAGGTTAAATCACATTTCCATCATTCACTGAAATGGTTATTACTTCCACTCTGGTCTTCATATCTAACCTAACTGTAACCTTAAACCTAAATCTAAACCTAACCAACCCATAAAACTTTGCCAGAGCCAAAGTCAGGTCACCCAAACATCATTATCATAGACACAAAAAACACTGTCTTGGGGTGTCAGAAATTGAAACCAACCGGTAAAACTTTGCCAGAGGCCACAGTCAGGTCACCCAATACACCAACATCATGGACACCAACAAGACTGTCTTGGGCTGCCAGAAGGGTCAAAGGGTCGAAGGGTGAAAGGTCATTGAGAGATTCTTACCTGTTGGAAATTCCTCTTGGCCGCGAGTGCGCCCTGTAACCTCTCCTCCTGCCTGATTCGTATCCTGGCCAGCTCGTGGAGGAGCTTCTCCCGCCCCGCCCTGGTGTCCAGGGCGTCGCTCTCCAGGAGCATCTTCTTGACCATCTCAATCTCCTGCTCCATCGTGCTCTCAGGATGGACTTCAAGGTCTTCTGTAAGGGGTTCAAAGGTCAGAGGTCGGGTTAGGACTAGGCAATTGCATCACGTAATGGTGGGAATACATGTAGTATCTCTATCTCTTTCTGTTTTTTTTTTTATCTTGATCTACTTGTTTCTTTTCTCTTATCATTTCTCTTTCTATCTCTACTTTTATCCCTCCTTCTTTCTTTCTCTCTCTCCCTCCCTCTCTTTCTACCTCTATCTCTCTGTCCTGTTGCTATAATATACTTCTTTCTCTTTCTCCTATGTCCTATATTCCTATCCTTATCTCCATTTTTCTTTTGTACCTCTCTCTTCCAAAAATCTCCCCTCATCTTGTCCACTCCTCCTTTCCTCCAATCTATCTCCCCTTTCTATTTTTCTCCTTCCAATCCTCTCCATCCTATTTCATCTTTCGTATTTTCTTCCTCTCTTCCCTTCCCTCTCCCCGTGTCTATCCTTTCCCTCACTTTCTGTCTCTCTTGCAGCCCCCCCCCCCCCCATCCCCCTCCCCACCTCCTCTGAATCTCCCCTTCCAAGATCCCTCATACCCTTCCTCCTGTACCCTTAACCATTTCCTCTCTGCTTTCCCTTTTCCCCCCTTTCTCTTCCTCTTATTACTCACCGCGCATTCTTCAAGTCATTGCTGCAGTATCTTTCAAAGAATGTTACCCCTTTTCATGTAAATGTTGTCCCATCTAAGCTACCTTTAATACTCACCGCATTTAATGTCTCTTTCTTTCTCTCCATCTGGCGACATCGATTCTTTGGATGATGGTGATAGTTTCAAGGGTGGCGCCAAGGCAACATTGGGTGCAAACTGGCTGTCAAACCTGGGGGGAAAAAGTTTATATTTTAGGGTGTTGTAAAACTATGCCTCACAAACTGTTGCAGTCCTCTTTCTGATGTTCACAATGTCTACAAGATTGAACCAATGTCTGAAACAATGAATAAGTCTAGTTAGATCTCACTTCCAAGAACTATAATAATACTGACCATTTCTTGATACTTTTCTTTCTGTTTGATTGGGGGATGAGCATTGATGTGTTGTAGGTTTGGAACAATATCAATACAGAACGGACAATTTTAAGTTTATTTTCTAATTTGTCCATTATTAAAATAACAGAGCAAAACAAAACATCACAATGTAATTGTTTCTTAGGAAAGGGTAAGGAAGGGAAGTGTTCCGACAATTTTACAGTAGTGACATAGAAACTGTAACGAGTACAGCACCAACTCTCTGTTATACCATCACAAACTTCATTATGAATGGTGACCATTTCTCATGTCTCCCTCCCTACTACATGTAGCAATAAGCATTATACTTACTTGGAAGCTGCAGTGTGGGGCACCACTCTCTCTGGGTTGAGGAGGACTGGAGGTCCCATGCTGAGGTAGGTTGGCATCCCACGGCTGAAGGGCAAAACAAAGAAACAAAAAATGAATACAGATCAGAGGCTGGTTCACACTGGACCAAAAAAATATGGCATAGCTGAGTTCACACTAAACTTTTAACAAGAGGGCTTCAGAAAAACTGTTTCAATTTGGGGTCTGTGTGTGCCAGACCCTTCTATAAATTGTGATTACTTCTTGTTTTTGTTATTTTTGGTGTTTTGTTTTGTTTGTTTGTTTGTTGTTGTTGTGCTTTTTTTTAGGGGGGGGGGGAGGGGGCTCGAGAAGAATTTGAGAGTCTGTGCTTAGCCTTATAGTAGTCCAGTATGTGTTAAGCCCTGCATATGAGCACAGAAATTGCCCAACCCTCAGTTTTACTACACACAAACATGTCTATTTGAATATGTCGTTTTAAGTTGAAACACATAGGTTTTCCCCCCTCTGAACAGGAAAAATCACAGATATTCAAACTGACAGGATCTAAGTTTGAGACCTTATGACACTTGTCTGCTTCTAGCTTTCATCACACCCATTGTTCCTTTCCTTCGGGGAGATTAAAATCATTCCCACAATCCTCTATTCTTTAACCACGCTGCTTCCTCTCCCCGCTTCCTCCCTCCGCAAACACAAAAGCTACTTCTTAACCTTCAAGGTCAATGTGTATTCAGTCCGGACTGAAAACACACATTCAGAATGTACGGGCGTAAACTTGTATGTATGCGGAACGAATGCAAGTAGGCCCATGGCAAATTATGAAGCCTATCTATGTATGTGTATATTCACATCAAGAATTGACTTGCTATTTCTGAAAAGCTTATTATCGGGAATGGAATTAATCATTGGTTCATTGACATACTTGTAGCCAGATTGAAATAGCTGTAAGGAGGTGATCAACCACTTGTTAAGAACTAGAATCATATCAATGATTGTTTGATCTTCACACGACCTCATAAATGTATATGACCATCCATGTAAGGTCACTTTTTATATATACTTGCATCTTACAACTGTCTGTATCTAAAAGGCCAGCCTGAAACTCTTTAATTTCTCAAGCTTGTATTGTCTGTCACGAAGTTGCGCTTGCATGGATTCGGTAAGTAATCGTCTTACACTAGATGGAGATCCTGCATGGCCACTTCCGATAAATACACATCAAAAAAAAACTTATATCCTCCCTTTCTTACGTTTCTACTGATTGTCCAGAGGAGATTAGCGATTTCGCAACGTCCTGATCAATGACCTCGAGGTCAAACCACTATCCTCGCCACAGACGAGAAAGTAACCGTCAGACATCCTGCTATATTAGACTTGAGCAATATTTTTCTACCAACTTTAATAATTGTGACAAACGGTGATGGTTGAAAGGAAATTGTGCTCCGCTCACATGACCTTTTTTGGGAAACCGAAGTCAAAAGAGAAAGTCTTTGGAAGAACCGCCAATCTAAAGACCAGTTTATTCAATAGGTATTGATTTCTATAAAGTGCTATTGTAGGGGCAATGCCTGATACATACTGGCAAGTGGTAAGTGATATGTGATATGTGCCCCAAAATAACATCTTTATCGATGTTATTATTATGACTGATACCACTGCAAGGCCAGGTTCAGACAAGACAAAGTAAACCTGCATCAAAACAAAATTGTGGCAAAATAAAAAACTTTAGGCGAGTGATATGAATAGCAAAGTGCTATAAACTAGTACAGATAAGCTTTAAGACTAGTTTATTCAATATGTATTCATTTCTGTAAAGACTCGAGTGCAAATGTAGGGACAATGCCTGATATATACTGGCGAGTGATATATATATGCCTAAAATAACATCTTTATCATTGTTATTATTATGACTGATACCACTGTGAGGCTTGGTTCAGACATGACAAAGAAAACCGCATCAAAACAAAATTGAGGCTAAATAAAAAATAAAAAATTATGTTCGATTAGGGCGAGTGATATGAATAGCAAAGTGCAACAAAGGCCTCAAAGGTCCGCATACTCTATGACCTACATGTATGTGTTATAACATCAATATTTGTGATGCATCTATCTTATATCACTTTGCCTTTGCCTTTATCTTCAGGTGGTTTACTTTGTCACATTCGAATGAGCCTGTATCGTCTTCATTTCTTACCTGTCTCTGACGAGAACCGTGCCGTGGTCTGGAAGCAGTCCCATCTTACCGCCGCCGCCGCCCTCTTTGTTGAGGATGCTCGGCGACCAGGGACGGAAAGCGGAGGGTCTCTGGAAGGGCGTCGACCCCGGCCATGACGACGTGATGATCGCATCTTTCCCCATCTCGTCGTCGTCTTCCCCTCCTTCTCCTTTGTGTCTCTTGGCATTCCCGTTCTCATCGAGCCCCTGCTGTAAAAGATAAAAAGAAATATAGTTTTGATTAATTAGGGTTGTTTATATCTCTCAGTATGTAGCGCAAATTTCAAGCAATGATTTGAATGAATCTGTTGCCAGATTTAGCCCAATAGACCATCAATATATTATATGACCCTACAATGCAAAGCATAATATATATATGCCAAAGCTATAGATAAATAATCACAGCATTATCATTATTGCCACTATCATTATCATCACCAACATCACAATCTTCATCAACATCATCATTATCATCATCATCGCGACAAAAATGAATAATGGAGAGATATAGAGGGAGAGAGAGAGAGAGAGAGGGAGAAAGAGGGAAGAGAGAAGGCAAAACAGATAACAAAGACCTCCCCCCCTTCACCCTTTCACCTTTTACAATGAGCTAGGACCTGGTATAGTGATATAGAGAGGGTTCACCGAGTGCCCTGCTTTTCAAAGCACTACCGTTTTGAAACACCACGTGGTCCCTCTACAGGATGCCCATGCCGAGAGCAACAAACCCATTCTGTGTACAAAACATTCCATAGCACTATTCATTCAAATAGGCCTACCATTACTTGTTCCATTCAATACAAAATGTAACCATTGCAGTAAGTTAGGAAGCATGTCGACATTGAGGTGATTCACAAATCCAAATGCAATTTGTAGCATTTTCACATGAAAATGTGACTACCGGTACATCTTTAAATGGGTTTCATGGCATTGGAATCCTCCCCCCCCCCTTATCTAGGTATATCCATTTATGGAACTTTCATTTGCATGTTGTACCAAGTGGTACGTGTCAAAGATATGTATGCTGTTTCATTTTTCCAAGAATAATTGCTAACATACATAATTGCATATTTCTTTCTTTGTTTCTGTCAAGAATATTATGATCATCTTGAGGAAGGGATATGAAAGACAACATAAGGAAGGAAACAGAAATTCCCTGGATGTGATTGATGACAAACAGAAACCATAACATATCAATATCAATCTCCTTTGTATACAAACAAACCGTATTGGCAAACAATGCGTGTACGAAAGCATGTCCTACTATGACTGCTTTAATCCATACTGGTAAAACGCTTACACTGCCATCCGATGCATGTATTACCACAGACTCTAGTAGTATGGTGCGTGGGGAACACATAAGGTAAACAGATACCTCATAGAAAAACCTCATAGAATAATGGGTGGATGGCCGCAGAAACATGGAACACTGCCAAGAACACGCTCCAAACAACCGACGATAATAAAGGACCAACAGAAAGAAAGAGAGAGAGAGAAAAGGCCCTGGGTAAATTGCCTGTGAATTTCAAAAGAAATCCCATTATCTTCTTAGCCCTTCTCGGTTTTTCTTCACCTTCCTTCGAGTTCATGAGATCAGAGTCGATAGAGAATGTGAGAAGTAGAATTTAGTCTAGTACCAGAGAGAGGATATTGGATTTCACTTGATTTATCAAGTGATTTGATACACTATCGTTCGTTCTGCTCCAACAATGTCCCATGTACACATTGTATAAAAGCAGAGATAAATCTATTTAAAGATGAACTCGGTCTACAGCGACATACTTCTACCACTCTGCTTTCGAATAGAAAACACCACTGATTTTTGTTTTCCCATACAAATTCACTAATGGGTAGAATTACTTGAAATACCCAGCAAGAAGGAACAAAAAGAGAATGAGCCCAAGGCATGGCAGTTGTTAGTGGTAAAAACAATACCAAGTACCGGTAGTAGGCCTACATGTATATTATGTACACATAAACCATAACCTACACGTGTATGATCAGGGTATAATGAATTTACTGGAGTACATTGTACACCTGGCTCTACACAACAGCTGTCGGTTTACATACAGGCAAATTGCAACACGTTTTAATCAGTCTGTTGCTCGAAAGTGACGTAGGCAACGTCCTAGCAGCACATACAAGCTGATTAATGTGACCTCGTCCTACATTCATTGCATGTTTACCAAGTTTGCGGTATCTCCTGGTATAACATAGCCTTTTCGTCAGTACTTCAGTCTTCAGGCTATTGTTCAAGAACTTCTACCACTTATCCTCCGAATTCAATTCGAGATCGATTCTTGGGAGTGGGATTTCAAAAGCAGAAACTATCCGACCCATCAAGGCATTCTGATTGTGGCTCAGGTTGATATCTTCTTTAATAAATCTTTGCATGCGATATGGACTTGAGGTATGTGAATTTTGTATATTTTTGTAAAGACAGAAATACAAGATTACAAGCAGTATACTTAAAGTTCATTGCAAACTACCTGTTTGAGGGACCCATCGTCTCCTATCTATCTCCTGGATGGATGCCATTGTAACTACAAGGCCTGACAACCTGGACAGCTTGACAAAGGAGACAGATCTCCAAGTTTTTCACTTTAATGATAGCAACCACAACATAGCCAATTTGCTACGCTTCGCAGCCAGATCAATTAATGCACCTTTAAAGCTGTCTGCACTAGTTTGGCCAGGGGGGATTAGACCACCCTGCAAGGTCACTGGACAGGTGGCTATCTCATCGACTCGGCTCTCAATTAGCATAAGTTAAAGAGGATCATGGGGGACCAACGGGCACCGTTTAGGCATTGTTTGCTATATAGAGGGCGCAAGTAGCTATAAGAAGTGAAGTGGGGCTTTAAACCAAAATTGGCAGATACAAGCCCAAAGGTATGTTGTGGAGTTCTGTGAGGTGTTTGGAGAACAGACTAGAGATCAAGCAACAAACATATGCCATCCCTTTTGTTGCTTGTTGCCATCTCTGCCCAAGGTCTCCGGGAGGATCCTAGGGTCTTTCTGGCATCGGAACAACACAAACAGAAAGGCCTGAACGAACGCGACCTGGATGATCCAAACATCATGAAGACATCAATAGTGAAAGACAACATAGTGAATCTCTCGACATGGCATACCATCATGTCAGTGTTTGGCATGCTCTACTTGCACATAGCGCCCCACCCTCCACCCATCCAGGACAACCAGAACAAAGAAACCAACAACAACAAAACAAAAAGACATACGTACACACTGAGCAACCTATCTGGGATTTCAATTAAATTGTGAGCCTATACTAGAGGGTATTAAAAGTATTCCATTCTCAATTTAGCACCCCATCCACAAAGAATCCGGAAAAACTAAAATGAACATACCAAACTAAACTAGAAGAAAAAGAATTAAACAATGAGCAACATATCTGGAGTTTCAATTAAATTGTGAGCTAGTCCTCAGCATATACAATAGGGTATTTAAAAGTTTCCATCCTCAATTTAGCACCCCATCCACAAAGAATCTGGAAAAATTAAAAGTACAAACATACCAAACTAAACTAGAAGAAAAGATGAAAACACTGAGCAACATTATCTAGGATTTAAAGTAATCCATACCTCTTTCATCCACTATTGAAAGATTTTGTACAAATTTTGTATTAGTGAATATAAGATACATTACTATTACTATTCTAAAGTTACTATTAGTATCAAAGTATCGATCTACCCACACACAAAATTAGAAAGACATATTAAAGGTATTTATTTGTTTCTTTTGTAAAACACTGTAAATTTTTTTAAATCTCTAATGCACTTGGTTTGTACAGACCATTTACCTACAAAGCGATCTCACAGAGCTTTTAAAAGGTTCAGTTGCATTAGAAAGTGCTTTAAAAGAGAAAATATTGATATCAATTTGATAAAACGGTTTGCTGGGGAGGACAAACATAATAAGAAAGATTTCAGTTTGTATTCCCTGTTTCACGATTACTCCTAGAATATTCATATAGAACAGTCTTTGGCATATCATGATAGGAAGCACGTCCCACACAAACGATGATGCATTTTGAAAGATATCATCTGAAGCCGAACGCAGATTATATGAAGTCGAAGTTACAATGACTGGATGTAACCCTAAATAAGTAAAGCATCTTGAGATTGCTTTTTCACTCTTTCTCTCTCTGTCTGTCTGTCTCTGTCTCTCTTTCTCTCTGTCTCTTTCTCTCTCCTCTTTTTCGCCCCTATCCTCTTCTTTCTCTACCCTCTCCCCTTCACTTTCACTTTCTCTCTCTCTATCTCTATCTCTCTCTCTCTCTCTAACTCTACCCCCTAATCTCCATCTCCCCTTCCTTCACATGACGTGGGCATTGTATCCTCCTCCTTCCCCACCACCTTCAGGATAAGAAAGGCCATTATATATCAGTAAATGTGGGTAACGGTGACATTTTCCAAAGGCCACAGATAATCCATCCCTGGTATCGAAAACGGGCGTAATTGCAATGTTAAAGCCTATCAGCACGTATGTCGGTTAAAGAAATCAATATCATCAACAGGGGTTGCTCAAAAGTGGGTGAATCCAGCTGTCATTAGTGTCGTTAGTCTTATAGGAATACTTAAAGATAAAAGCCTGGTAACGGAACATCCAGCATTCAGACCAGGCAACAATTGCTCCACAGTCATAATCCTAAATATACCAAAATAATTCATCACAGAACAGCAGGTATTCCACTTGTATTGTAACCAGGATCTACTGTACACAAGCCATTCACCTGAGGTTGACCTCGGATGACCTTCGATGACCCCTGCACTGACCATTGAGAGAAAGAGTTTGGGTTGCCCTCACATGACCCTGCTATCAGGTTCTAATGACCCTCAAGGGATGGTCAGGCAGGTAAACATTGACCCTTTCTCTGTAAACTTTGACACCTGTTTACCTTACTATTTATAGAGCTCTAACTTCCCCCCCCCCCCCTCCTCTTCCTCCCCCCCCCCCCTCCCCTCCTTCTCTCTATCCTCTATCCTCCCTCTGATTATTCTGAAAAGCCCTTTAACAAAGGCCTAGATAGGTGTATGCCCTGCATGAGTGTTCTACAGACTTCTACATGTGGGTCTACATATGCCCAAAAAACCTTCCCCCCCCCCCCCTTTTTTTTTTTAAATTTTCCAATGTAAGAAATAGTAATAGAAGTGGGCTTGGCAAACAGGAAAAAGGAGGTCTGCGTAGTGCGTAAAGGTCATATATTTGC